AAAAAAGAAAAATATAAAAGCAAAAAATCTTACAAAAAAATTGCAAAATCTATGTAAAAAATACAAAAAAAAAATATACATATATATGTATATATATATATAAACATATATGAGAAATACACGAAAACATGAAGGCGCTAAAGCGCGAAAAAGAACGTGTGGAAAAGGTTGACAGGAGAAATGCGATCAAGCAGAATTTTTATGTTTATTAAAAAATAAAAACATTACAATTTGCATATATATATATATATTAAAACAAAAGCAAAACATGTAAAGCGAGCGGGACGCCAAGTTATTTTTTATTATTTGCGTTCAGCCTTTTGTTAGATGGAGGATGTTTTTACACCATACATACGAGTATATTAAAGCAAAAGAATAAAAATAAAAAGAATAGGCCATGCCCATGTAGCATGCAGTGAAATTCATATTTTTTTAATAAATACAATGAAAAATGAAAAAAAAACAAAAACATTTGAAAAAATTGCAAAACACGAAAACATTTATAACGCAAACAGCTGCAAAAAATATTACAAATATAACAAAAATAAAAGCAACACATAACCAAAACCCGATTTGGAATATTCAGATGTTTTTTTGTGCGATAACCTTTTACGTTTTATAAAATATAACACACACACACACACTTGAATACATAATATATATATATATATAACAAATATAAACAACCAATAATTTGTAAAATTCAAGATATATTTGTTAACAAATTCGATTGCACTTTGAAGATTGAACAACAAACCGCTTTGAGCCAACCAAATATATGTTCGAATGAATTGTAGAAAAGGCGCACAGCGAGCAGTCAAAAAAGAGCAGAGCATAAAATTTGTACACCCTGAAAATTTCATTAAATAAAATTCCACTTCGGCAAAACAAATAAAATGAATTTTTTTCTAGTTATTAAAATTTATAGCAGGCTCCTGGCCAAAGCCCAATTCCGGGCTTAAATTAGCTTATAGTGTTGTCCTACAAGCAAACGACCCGCAGAAACCTGGGCAACATTTGTGCGTAGACATAACATACATATATATTTATTTTTATATCGTCTTTCTGATAAGTTTATATAACAAGTCGCACATGCTCACGTGTTTAATTTTTATGAGTTTTATTTAATTTGCTAACAATAGTCTTTATAAAGAGAGCTTGGCAGATATTTGTTTCGATTTTTGTAGAAGTAGAAGAACAGAATTCAAAAAGCAAATCGAACATAGAAAAATTCGTTGTTCTTAAAGTTATATTAGATTTAAGATTGCAAAATGGATAAAGTAAGATGAATAAACTTTTGGCTTTGCTGGGTTAACAAAAGGAAGCAGACTACAAGTTGTTGTCTAATCCAATCGTGACTAGGGCATGCTCCATTCGACGTTCCCATCGTGTACTTAGTCCTCATCATCGTCGTCGTCGGCGGGCACAAACAAATCGTTCTCCTCCAAAAAGTTTGCCACGTTCTTGCTGATAGTGGCGCCCACAAAGAGTCCAGGAATCACGGCACAGAAGATAGCCAACAGGCCAAAAGGCATCTCCGACGGTTTGGGCTTGAAGGCACCGCTGCGGAAAGTAACACCTGACATCCGACGACGTACAATGTTGTTGCTGCAGGCAGTTTGTTGAGCGAATTTATGAAGGGCTACATTAAGCGGATACGCTAGCCGGGAAACACTCATGGTGATGTCCTTTATGTGTCTATTAATATATATTTATATTTTTTATAAATGTCAACTTTTGCTAACTGTATGTAACGCAGAAGAAACTTGTTATGGTCTTCCGATGTCAAATGTGCATACCATCGAGATTCTTATAAGAAAATCGATGCCGATACTTTATGCGTCACCAACATTGCCAACATTGTTGAATCAGCTGGCTAGAAAATAAAAATCAGTGTTGCACAGCGTAAGAAGAGCGCGTCACTCAAATAATAAACCGTGCAATCTTTTTAGATAAAACTGCTTTATTAATGTTGTTGCTCTCATTTTACAATTTAAAGGTTTGTGTGTGTATATATTGCAGAGCGTTTATAAATGCCCATGGGTTACATTTTTGTATGTATATGTATAAATATATATTTACTTTCAACTAGTAAAAGTTACAAATTTACCAATTGATTGCCCTTTTAATACATCGATTTATGTGTATCAAATTTACTCCGTTTTATTATGGTGTTTACTGTGTACTAACATTATTGATATTGATTATATAGAATTGTGCACAATTGCTTGCTACAAAATGCACATATTTGAATGTCAAAGCAGATTAAAAATGTATTGATATAATAACAAAGTCAATGTTTATGAATACGTAAAAATGCAACTTAGGGATAGTAGCTAAAATGGTTATGAAACAAATATGCATAGAGCATATATATATGAACAGAACGTAAATACATATTTAAAAACTTTGAACTAAGTGTGTACACAAGTTTATTAATTTGTGAAGCTGTTTTATGTTTTGCGCACTCGTCGTAAATACGGAAATACTTTTTCTGATTATGAAAATTGTGTAGGAAACGGTTTGCGGACGTTTGTTGATCTTAATATATAAACAACTTAAATAATACGCAAATTTTTGTGTTATTTCTAAGTAGTATTTTGTGATACTCTCTTTTCTAAAACAGATACAGACATATCGCTTATGTCAATGTTTTATGGAAATGACAAAACGATTTTTCAAAGAGAACATCGAAGTTCTCGAAATGTGTTTTTAGGCCATTTTTTTATCTATGTATATATGTAAACTTAAAAACAATTAATAATTGCGCTAAACATACAAATAAAACAAAAATAAATACATACATAAATAAATTACAATACAACTTTGTTGAATGTTGCTAAAGAAAAAAATAACCTTTTTGAACATTAACAACTGAACATTAATTTGGCTATATTTTGATTTTGTTTTTGTGTGTTTGGGCTTAACGCAAAACTGATGAGATAAGCTTAAAAATGTTGTTTCTCTTTTACCAATGTGTTGGCCTATTAATAGTGCGAAACACCTGATAAACAGACCACTTGTCCGCTTAATCTTTATTTCTAGCCTGAATCATTATCGGTAAAGAAAAAGGTGCGCTACAGCACGAGTCGGAAATAATTGGGTAATAAAACAAATCTATGAAGAATGTTTAGGTAATTAACTCTTGAGCCCAGTGCACCAATAAATACTTGTACATCAGTAAGTAATGCGTTATTCACAAGATATATGTATATAGGACAGGCAATATTTAAGCATAATTAGCCCCGCTCGTAGTATCGATAAGACCGATTCGCAGTTTGTTATGCAGTTATGACACCTGTTGTATTGGAACAGTCTGCTCAATTTTACACACAATTATTATTAAATTGTTAGCCATTCGTTTAACACGTGTCAACAATCCATAACAAATTCAATTCATTTTTCTAAGCCGAAATTGCAATTTTCAGAGCGTTACATTTTAATTGACATAAACAAAAACATAACTTCTTTAAAATGGGGACACGTTGATAATTTAACTGATTGATAATTTATGGTGAAAATTGCAATTTTCTTGTGACATACATCATCAACATGGGCGGGGCTGGGCTGGGTTGGTCTGGGCGTGGCAAACGTTATGGGAGAGGCCGGAGTTGCCGTAGATACCGCTTGCAGCTCTAATCAAATTCGGAAATGGGCGCACGGCTGCCACTGCTGCTGTTGCTGCATCTGCTTCTGCTGTTGCGATTCAAATCGATCTGCTTGACGGCGTTCGGCGTGTTGGCAGCTGATGAGGACGACGATGATTCATCGCTAGGTCATAAGTCCTGAAAGCGTCGCACATCCTCCCAATAGTGGGCGGGTATCTCGAATAGTTTGGCGGGTATATTGTCGCGAAACTCAAACTTTTGAAATGTCACCTTGGCGGTGACCGTGTGGAGCACAGGTATTTCAATCTTAACGGGAAAACCCGCGGGCAGTTTGAGCGTGACAAACTCGCGTAGCTTATTGATATGCTTGAGCGGTGCCACAACCTCCAGCACATCCAGCAGCATGTCCACACTGAGCGGAAAGTCGGCGCTCATCGCAACGGTAGCGCGTAGCGTTTTGTTGGACTGTTTGTTGACCGGAGTGCGTCCCAGTTGCGGGCATTTACCCACGGGCGCATCCATATACTCCGACCAAGTGATCGTTGTGGTGGGCGGCGGCTGCAGCGAACTGCGGCGCGGCAGCTCTGGCAATGTTAGGGTACTGCCAGTTGTGGGCGTTGTCGCCGCATTTGAATCCGTCTGGCTGCCGCCTTTGGTGATTGTCTCGACAATGGCGCGATTCTTTTGCAAATCCTCGTTGGACAAATGCTCACGCCGCTTGCGCTGCTTCAGCACTAGCCCCTGTATGGTATAGATTTCGCATTGATATTGTCCACCTATCAGTTCCTTGCGATTGGCCCTGAACAGCCAGCCGCGTTGAGCCCGCGCAAATTGTATTGTCTTTGTGGACATCTGGGTGGCCAATATGTCGGTGGACATCAGCACATCCACCTCATCTTCCATGTCGGATTCCTCATAACGCAGACGCTGATAGCATTGCTGTTCATTATCCAAGAGCACTAGGGATTCATTGGGCGCTGCCTCGCCGCGAAATAGAAACGAAATATCACCACGATCCCAGCGCATATCGTTAAAGTCCACTAACGTTGTGTCCAGGCGCAGTGAAGCGCCACATTTATACAGTCGGCAAATGTCCGAGGGCAGAATGCGTGAGACGAGCGGCAGCCACGACTGAAAGTCCCACTTGAACTCCATGTAAAAGTCCTGCATTTGTTGCAGTGCCTGCACGAGTCGTTCACGACGGCTTTCCATGTGTTCGCGCGACTGCAGCTTCAGCATGCGCAGCAGCTGGGTAATCGTCTGTCGGTGGCCGTAACTGATGGCCTCGGCCAGTGGTGACCAGCCCTCATTGTTTTTCACCTTGACGGGGGCATTGTTGGCCAGCAGCAAACGGACACAGCAGGTGCGACCCAGCATAACGGCCAAATGAAGGGGCGTATTGCCGTGCATGTCCTTTTCGGCCAACTCTTTTGGACCGGTGGTCAGAAGCAGGCGACGCTGCAGCGTTCGTATATCGTTCTCGAAAACGCTGCGATGCATTGGATACTCGACGCAATCGTCGGGCACTGGGGCAGGTGCGGGGGCAGTTTTTCGTGTTGTTGTATCGTCATCGTCGTCACCCTCTCCCGCCGATTGATACTCATCCGATTCCGACTCCTCATCGGGTGACCCACTGTTTGTTGTCTGTTTTGTGTGTTCTACTTTCCGATTTTTGTCACACTCGTCCACTTTTTCGTTGGACATGTTTTACTCACCGTATCTTTATCAAACACTTTTTGCATACAGTTTTCTCTCATACAAAAATTGCTATTTCGCTGCCCAAAATTGCTCTGTTTATTGATTATTATTAGCGATGGACTAAGTGTAGCACTGTGTCCAACATAACGATAAGGTATCGATAAACTCAATTTTTTTCATTTGATGAGTAAATTCACTAAGCGCAGTAAAGTAGCTTTTCCGATTAAACATCACCAGCGATTTGAATGGGTATTTATGCATATGCCGACATTAATTAAACAAAAACAAGCAAATGAAAGCTAACAAGCCCCTGTCAACTTCATGTCATTTGAAAAATTATTAAAGCCACAATTTGACATTTAGCACATACATATATGTAATGTGTATGTTAACGGTAAATATGGCAAAAGACAATCGTAAATAACATTTTCAATGCTTTATACATACCTATCACCCATCCCTAATGTGGCCCATACACGTTACAACACTATTTCGTACTAAAAAGTTATGCCTTATTTGTAAATTTTTCGTTTAAAATATCTCAGCAGTGGATTCTTTGCTTAAATATATATTAGAAACGTCGCCCAATTTTATGGCAAACTCCAATTGCATCTGATTGCATCGTGTATGGGCCGCGCGTAACAAAAACAAAATAAAAGAAAAAAAATAACAAACACACAGCAGGCGAGGCGAATCAAAACGGGCAACTGCAAACGGCAAAGGCAAGGCAACATGCAGTAATAAATTGAGCAAGTTTCATAATCCTCCAAACAATTCGTAGATAGATTATGTCGAGCGATGAACTGCTGTGGCGTACTAAGTATTCAAGTTCGCGTTATCAACGCCACGAGAGCGCAGAGCAGCGGACGCCCTTGAATGCCAGCTCGTTGCACTGGCAGCGTCAACAATTTGGTTGCGATGTGGACGAGCAGCTGCGTCGCCGGCTCCAAGCCTCGCCAGCGTACATCGATCGGCTCGAACAGGAGACGTTGCTGACCGGGCACGACGGCTGTGTCAACTGTCTAGAGTGGACAGATGATGGCATGCTATTGGCGTCGGGTTCTGATGATTACAAAGTCATGATCTGGGATCCGTTCCGAAAGCGGCGCATCCAAACGATAAACACGAAACATCTGGGCAACATATTTTCCGTAAAGTTTCTCCCCCGTCACAACAACAGCATTGTGGCCACCTGTGGCGCCGACAAATATATCTATGTCTACGACATTAATCACGGCAATGAGACCTTATTTACCTGCAATTGCCACACGATGCGCGTTAAGCGTCTGGCCACGGCGCCCGATTCGCCACACATTTTCTGGTCCGCCGGTGAGGATGGCAGCATTCTACAATTGGACATGCGTGAGCCACATCGCTGTCGCGGCCCCGATGATCAGCAACCAGCGACGGGGGGCGTACGACTCCTGAGCCTTTGCACCCAGGTTGAGTCGACAACGGAGGCCAAGTGCCTGGCTATCAATCCACGACGCACCGAGTATCTTGCAGTGGGTGCCAACGATCCGTATGCGCGCGTCTTCGATCGCCGAATGCTACCAGGTGAAGGTAATTGCAGAAGTGTGCCGTGTTCTCACCATCCCATCTTTCCTTTAAGGAATTTATTAAGCTCTGTGTTTATTTTGTAGCAAGCAGCTGTGTCTCCTTCTATGCCCCCGGTCAAATTGTGAAGAATATCACTCGCAACATCGTGCACGAGTCGCGCACTGTCACCTATCTGACATTCAACAACTACAACACAACGGAGCTTCTGGTAAATATGGGCTGTGAGCATATCTATCGCTATGATCTACACAATGCCACGCCACCAAAGTTCTACGAACTGCCTGAGTACACAGCATCGCCTCAGCCCACTGAGGCGGAGCAAGTGGAAGCGGCAGTTGGCACTGATGCAAAGCCAGAAATCAGGACGACCAAAAAGCAGCAAAAGCGTCGCACGTTGCCAACGAGCATTGAACAGCACAAGAAGCTGGGTAACGAGCATCTGGAAAATGGAAAATTGCTGGCCGCAATAGATACGTATTCTGCGGCACTAGCAGAATATCCGCGGGGGGAGGTGCTTTATTTGAATCGGGCTACGGCACTGATGCGTCGCGGTTGGTTTGGCGACATATATGCGGCGCTGCGAGATTGCCACGAGGCGTTACGGTTAGATCCCACTTATGTGAAAGCTCATTTTCGATTGGCCCGTGCCCTGCTTGAGCTGCATCGGCCTCAGGAAGCGGACAAGTGCTTACAAGAGCTAATACAGCGCTTTCCAAGCTTTGCCAACAATCATGGTGTGCTGATGCTGCACAAGGACATACACGAGTATCGACAGCAGCAATCGCAGTCTACTGGCCAAACGTCCGATCATGAACCGGTGCTCATTGAGAGCGGATTCCGCTATCTACGCCTGACCGATGATGAGTATGCGCAACGGCGTGCCGCCAAGGATTACAAACAACGATATGTGGGTCACTGCAACATCACGACGGACATCAAGGAGGCCAACTATTTGGGCCTTAATGGCGAGTTCATTGCCGCCGGCTCCGATGACGGCAACTTTTACATTTGGGAGGGTGAGACGGCCAAAATACGTGCCGTCTACCGCGCTGACAGTGCCATCGTTAACTGTGTGCAGCCACATCCAAGTATTTGCATGTTGGCCACAAGCGGCATCGATCATGATATCAAAATCTGGTCACCGTGCGCGCCGAGCGCCGCGGAGCGACCCAATCTCGTTGCGGACGTCACGCGCTATGTTGAGAATAATCAGGAAAAAATGCGCACTGATCCGTTCGAAGCGAATACGCGCAATGCGTATTGTTTTAATAATTAAATATAAGCACATCTAGTATAATGTAAATTAGTTTTTAAATTCAAATTGCAATACAATTCATGCAATAATAGGCCACTTCTCCGGTCCTGTCTACTCGCGAAACTAGGAGTATAAATATATTAAACTAATAGGGTAATTTGCGAAAACCACTATCAATTTTGTTAAATTGTCAAAGAAATATAATTATAGAAAAAACCAAGCATATGAAAATGGTATGTCGAAATCAAAGAAATAAAAATTCAAAGAATTGCAATGTCTGGTTAATACTAATCTGAGATAATGAAAAAACGAAATAATGCGAAACGAATAGATCAATTAAATTACACAATCTATTGAAAAGTCGACTTTTAATTTAAAAAAAATCCTGGTCCGATAATCTTTATAATTTTTGAAATAGAAATTGTAAGGCGAAAACAGATTACTTTGAAATAATTTGAAGTCTTTTATATATTTTTGGAATTATTCTGTTTATTTATCGTAGTTATTTAAATCTATGCTCACATGTATACATATACATACATATAAATATTTTACTTTACGTAATAATATTCAAGTATCGCTTTTCTCTTGTTTTTTATTATATTTTCTTTTTATCAAGTTTATTATTTAAAAAACTAAGTAGAATTGATAGCTTCACATAAAAGTTTCTATCTTCATATCGCAATCGGTAAACGTTGTTGTTGTTACAAATATTTTATGGTATGAATGCTGAATAATGTTTTAGAACAATTTAAAGTACTTAAAATTTTGCATTAAGTAAGGTGTTTAGTTATACATAATTAATTTTTCTCTTTCTGTCCTTAAAAGTGTCGTGTGTGTGTGTGCGAAGAGCGTGACATGTGAATTTTAGTAAGTTGCTTAAAATCTAACTGAATGTGTTGTAAATATTCGCGGCCATGCGGATGATTTTTAACGTTCTACTTGCACATTTTTTTCACATTATATTATGTATAATTATGTTTCTATATATTTTTTATGAATTCTCTTTTAATTACTTTACAAAAGTGCGTAGTTTTTCATTCTTTTGTTTTGTAGGGTTGTCCATATTTTGCTTTTTATACAGTGTTTTTTTTTCTTTGTTTACTTTTAAGAATAGTATATTACAAACTATTTTATGATGAAATTAAAAATACGATTCAAATCAAATTCAATGGGTCGACAGTGTTCATAAATATTGCAAATCTGTTGATCTATAAAGGAGGTGAGGGTAGGGTAGGGGACTCATAAAATCGTAAACGTTACTTTTTGTTTGAACTATCGTATATCTGTCAACTTTGTGTGCCTGTGGGTGTGCATTGGTTTTTGAAATGAACCTTGTGTGTATATCTCAAATGTTGTTTTGCTATGTTCCACTATTTTCTTTCTTTTGTTGGAATTTTGTTTTCTTGCTTGCATATATAAGTTTCTTATAGTTGTGTTTATTTATTTTTATTTGTTTAAATACCATCAACCCTCCCGCTTTATAGAACTAGGTGTCTCTGCCAGACCTTTCACTTTGAGTCGATCGGCGGTTTTAAGAAATGCCGGCAGCTGCTCTTGCGACACATTTACTTCGCCGGCATACATAAACTCCAGTATTGCCTGCAGGTGTATGTAGGACACATCTTTCAGTATAATAATGGGGTGCTTCGAGGGATTTTCCTTTAAAGACAATAATCTGATTAGCACTATCGCGTGACATGTACTTAAATGAGACTTACTTCCAATAGCGCCTTAAAGTAGGGACTGCAAGCTGAAAGCACCATTTTGTGTGCTTTGCAGGTTTGGCCTTCGCAGGCGAGTGTTACCTGTACGGAAATATTAAAGATAATCAGTAAGAGAGCGCAACATTTTCCCCAGCCCGCACAAAAGCATATGAATGGTCAACAGAAAACAAAAATATAATAGGTAGGTAAAAGAAGTCGAACAGATAGGCAGTAGATAGTTACAAGTATGAATGGAGTTAGAATTCATCCGAAATGATTCAAGAAAGAGTCAGTTAGTATTTAGAAACCTAGTGAATGTCTAATTAAGTTTCAAGTCAATAATGTTGAGGTCACGAGTGTTCGGTTTGCTTATATATTGAAAGTTTAATATACTATGTGTTGTGCCCGTCAAAACAATCTGAAGAATTTGAAACATAAGCGATACTTACATCTGTGAAGCTCTTCTCATCGCGCAAGTGACGGAACGAGGTCACCATATTCGTTTGAAAATCGTTCCATTTTAGAAAAAACTGTTGGTCCGACGACATCATGTAGAAGCTTTTGTTTTTATAGCTGGGAGAGCGTTAAAGGAAAACGCGCGCTCACAGTTCTGTTACAGGCAGGAGAATTGAAAATTTAGACGCGCGGCCAAAAAGACTCCAATAGAATAGCTCTTTACTTCAGTTCAGTGTTTTTAAACTATTTCCCTTGAGTTCTGCAAAAGAAATACAATGTTATTGCAATGATAAACAAGTAAAAGATAATAAAAACAAAACAAAAGTCTGACTTTGGCACGCCAAAACTAAATAAGCACAAACTTGGCGAAATTTTTGTGCGAAAAAGCACACAACTCGCATCGAGTGTAACCGTCGTGAGAGCCGAGCCAAACTTGCAAATTGCGAAAGAGCAGGCAGCCGCGCTGACGCTGTCGCTATCGCTGGCGAAGTCTTAAGCGTTGCACAACCGACGAAGACAACAACGACGACTCACAGTCAAAAACATTCTATACAATAGCAAAAAGTGTTTTGCGCAGACGCAATGTGCTGCAGCGGGCACGGAATGTACTGTGTGTGTTGGAAAATGTCAAATGTGCAAAGCTGGCCCGCAGTAACAAAGAAAAAAAAAAGAATAACAACAAGAGAGCGACAAAGGTTAAACAAAATATCAAAGACTCGCTCGCTCGAGCGCTCACATTGAATGCCTTTCACTTTTCAAGGCAATTTCTGCATTTTAGTCATTTGCGTTGCTTATTTGAATTTTCAGTTGCTCCCGCACAGTGGGCTTATGGATTCACATGTCCATACGTATAAGAGAATTATATGTGTAGATACATTTATGCACATGGAAATTAGCAGAAACTTTTAATTGTATATGGACAGGGCAATAATAATTCAATGACTACCACAATGAACGTGTTTAGAATTTAAATTCTATAAAAAAGAAATAAGGTCGTTTATTTAAATAAGTGGAGCCACCGTCAGTGCCCCAGTGTGCAGACAACATGTGTTGCGGTTGCGATAGCTGCTGGGACCAGCTTGTCGACGCTGCCATATGCGCTACACTTGCGCCGGCTCTGTGTGGGCGGCCTGAGACCCTAACAGTGTAGCGAGTAGAAACTTCGTGTAAGCATTAGGTTTACAGCAGCGGCTCACACATACATGTCAATTCATATACACTCAGCACACACACATGCACACACTTGGCTAAGCGCTCTCAACTTTCAACTGCCGTTATGATTTCGCAATTACATTACAACAGCAACCAAAACAACAACAACAACGAAGACGACGAGGGCAGACATTTGCTGGAAATTTCAGTTACATTTGTGTGCGTGTATTTATAAAATGCGACTATCTCACTTGCACTAGTTTAGAAGCAGTTAGGCAGCGCGGCAATAAGAAAAGTTGTTGAGTGATGTTGAAACTGTCTAATTTGTATAACTATTGGCCGAGTATTGATTTTTCCCTCTTTTTTTGATTGCACACCAATAAGCAGAAAACACCCACAATTGCATACATATGTTTATTTCTTCATAAAGAAAATACCAGTTTTTAAGTTGAGCAAAGACAACAGAGAAGAAAAAAGTGACGGCAGCCACAACAATTTGAAACGAGTTCGAACGAAAGTTGCAACACTCACGAAATTGATGAGCCGCTCTCGCAAAGGTTGTTGTTGTGTCGTGTATTACTCAACATGGCGCTCACAACAACAAAATAGGATGAGGCGAAGGAACGAACTACTCAAAATTCACTGAAGAAGAAATGTGCGAGAGTCGCTGCTGCCTAGATAATGGCGGCGGCAACGGCGACGGCAACAGCGGCAACTCTTCGTGGCATGCCACAACAACAAATGCTCGGGTTTTCATTGCATTGGTAATTTGCCATTTGCACGTTTCTGGTGCTTCTGTATTGTTATATCTGTACTTGTTTATGCAAATATTATTGTAATATATAGTTTAAAATTAGGTCGCGCTTCGTTTTACTTTGATTCACACACATTGACACATACACGCGCACACGAACGCACTATACATCAGGCACACAGTTGCACACGCACACACACATACACTTGTCTTTTTTCTACACTTTCCTAATCACTATTTGCCTTGCACTCTGTACTTTTACCAATGCGTATTGTGTGCAATTGAATAATGATCATTGCAAATGCATTTTGTATGCGCTATGTCCACGTTTTTCTTGCCTTTTTTGTTTCAATTTAATACATACACGCTTTTTTAGCACGCACTCACTCACCTTCTGTACACGCTCTGCTTTCGCTAATGCTTGCTTTGCTGCTTTCTTTTTTCTCTTTTCCGACGAGTGTTTTTTGCTTTTTCTGCTGCGTTTTACAACACTGCTAACACATTATGTTGTTACATAGCACTGACAGTCAACAGTTTTGTAGCGATGAGACTGAGTTCGTATATTTAGGCCCTAAGATGTTGAGAACATCGCGTTTCTTAAAGAAATTGAATGAAAATATTAACTGCTCTTGTAAAAGACTACAAAACACAACAGTTAATGAAAAGCAGAGCTTTCGCCAAAAGGCTTGGCAAGCGGCCCGCCAACGCTATGGTAACTATGAGCACGTGCACTACAGCTCGTTCCTCGAGTACAACTTGGGGCAGCTGAATAAATTTCATCAAATAAATCAAACGGCTTTTCCGCCATTGGATGCGTTGCGTGACATGGAGAGTGAACTGACAGAAAAATACGTTTCATCATATCCACACAATTGGATGGAGGACTATGAGTTCTATAAGGGTGCAAGCGATGAAGCGGGCAACATTGATGCCCAACATGGAACGCCCGATGCAACAGTGCAGCCATCAACTGTGCCTTGCAATGGCTGTGGAGCACATTTGCACTGTGTTAGTAGCTCCATGCCTGGCTACATACCCAGCGAAATATTTAAGGTATAAATATGCTTAAATATTGTATATTTTGTTAAGTACTAATTAAATTAATATATAAAGGGTCGCACGATATCCGAGCTACAGACCATTACCTGCCAGCGCTGCCATTTCCTTGAGCACTATAATATTGCGTTAGACGTGGAAGTGCCGCCCTCGGCGTATGTGGAAACCATTTCGCGCATACAGGACAAGTATGCCTTGGCTATTATTATTGTCGATCTGCTGGATTTGCCCAGCTCAATTTGGCCGGGCATGCAACAAGTTCTTGGCAGCAAGCGACCAGTGTTTCTGGTGGGAAATAAGGTAGATTTGCTGCCGCGTGATTCGAACAGCTATTTGACACATGTGAAAAGCTGTCTCAAGCAGCAGTTCATAAAATACGGTGGCTTTAATGCACTTAACATTAAGAATATCAGTCTTATATCGGCCAAGACTGGCTACGGCATTGAGGAGCTCATAACGCAGCTGCACAAGATTTGGCAATATAAAGGCGATGTGTATTTGCTGGGCTGTACCAATGTGGGCAAGAGCTCGCTTTTCAATATATTGTTAAATTCGGATTATTGCAGGCCAGAGGCCAGTGAGCTAGTTCGCAAGGCAACGACTTGTGCTTGGCCAGGCACCACACTGCAAATGCTTAAGTTTCCCATATTGCGACCCTCCGAGATTCGCGTCTATCACCGCTTTAAGCGTCTTTTTTCGGAACGTGCGCAGCGCGCTGCCTTGGAGAAGCTGCGACGCGACCAGGCTAAGGAAACGGGTACTTTGGCAGCGGCTCAGCTAATTGGAAACGTAGGACGCACTTTTGAACATCGTGTAGATGTGGAGGATGCATTTGCCATGTCAACAGGTACGCAGCCCATAACGACGCTCAACGAACGGAAGGCGGAGTATCGCGAGGCCCGTTGGGTTTATGATACGCCTGGTGTTATGCAGCCGGATCAACTGACGCCATTGCTTACGACGCAAGAGTTGCTGCGTCTACAACCCACAAAGATGTTGAGACCCCGAGCCTTTCGCTTGGCACCCACTATGTCCCTCCTATTGGGTGGCTTGGCACGCGTTGATTTGCTGGAATGTAACCAATACTACCTAAAATTGTTTGTCTTTGCGGCAGAAACGCTGCCGATACTAATAACAGATACGCAGCAGGCTGAGATGGTTTATGGACGCTATTTAGGCACGCCATTGTTGGGTGTTCCCATGGCTGGTGAAGATGAAACGCGTCTGCAACGCTGGCCTGGATTGCAGTGCATGGAACAGGATATCGTGGTCCAAAGCGGCGCGATGATTAATAGACAAGCCGAAAAGCAACTTAATTGTGATATAACCCTTAGTTCCGCAGGCTGGCTGGGCCTGCTGCTGCCAGAGAACTCTGAGTGCACCTGGCGTGTTTGGACTCCGCAGGCAACTGGCATTTATGTACGCAAGCCGGCCTTGATACCACAGGCAGACCGTTTGGTGGGAAAACACATTCGTTATTCTCTAGCCTATAATACAGCTAAGCCATTTGTATTTAGAAAATAGCTGATATATTTTAACTGCATTGTGAAAAAAAAGAAAACAAAATTAATTAAAGCAACAAATTTATAGTTTCGTTAAACACTCGACGAGTAATGTTTATCGTCAAGTGTGGAGTTACTTAGGCGATTTTGTGATGGCCTGATACCCGATATATTTTGCGCAAGCCGCTTATTATCACACCGTGAAACGATTTTTTCTATGTCACATCTCTAACAAAAAGTATCCACTTTTTCACGGCAACAAAGAATTTTTATGGCGCAGAATTTAGTAAATTAACGCAAATTATAGCCATTAAAATGCCATTTATTTAGCGCAGCACAACGGCGAAAAGTGCAATTATAAGTAGAGATTGTAATTTACAAACTGCGACGCAGCCTCGAACAACAATTTTTGTATGCTGTAAAGAAAGCCAGGATAATGGAGCAGAACTCCAGCACTATTACAACCGAGAAGGAGCTGGAAATCAACAGTGTGGCACCAACAACTATAGCCGCCTGCAGCAGCAGCGACATCAATGCCACACATGAATTCCAAACCATGAAGCCGGGCGCAGGACATAAGTTACAACTACAACAACAGCAGCAGCAGCTTGGCAATGGACGCACTGAGCTGCCACATAGCGAGCTGGTGAAGATGCTGTACTATTTGGAGGGTGAGCTGCAGGCACGCGATGTGTGCATCGCTGCGCTGCGCAACGAGCGGGTAAAGCAGCTGATCACACAGCTGCGCACAAAGCGTGTGCAGCCAAACGATCCGTATGCTTCGCTGTTTCGGGATAAGATCGCATTGAATGGGAATCTGATATCTCGCGAGTCCTCCACGCAGGCCGCTCAAGCGGAAATGGAGGTGCGCCAGATCATTGAGCAGCAAATGGAGCAGCAGTATCAGATGGTCAGCAAGCAGCGTGGCACACATGTGCGCATGGTTAATATATTGACCGAGTCGCTGGAGAATAACCAGCGCATGTTGCAGCAGCTAGAGGAGGAGAGGCGCAAGCATGAGAATGATACCGCTCAGGGTGATGATATAACCTATGGCTTGGAAATGGAGCGTACCAAGTTGCGCCAGCAGTTAGAGGCAGAGCAGGCGCAGGTGGCAAACATGGAGAAGGATCTCAAGAAACTGCAGGAGACGCTCGAGTACGAGCGCAACAGGCAAAAGCAAATTGTTTTGTTACTTATCGCGGAACGAAAGAAGATCCTAATGAAATACATTGAGGAGGGTGAGGGATTCCCTTAAACCCCAAGTATATATGATTTAATCTAAAATCGGTACTTTTCAGGCAAACGTTCAGAGGATCTGGCTCAAATTCTTGCCGAAGAGAAGCAGCGCTCCGATACCATTGCCGAGGGCCTTGAGGAGGAGAGCAAAAAATCGCTGCGTATGGAGGAGGAGCTGGAAAAGCAAACACAATCAATGGAACTGGAGCGCAAAACGCTGTTATCCAAATTGGCCAAGGAAGAGCTGCGGTATGTGTTCCATAAAGATAATTTCCTATTCTATTACTTAATAAATACATGTACACATATAAATATAAATGCAGTGTAAAGGAGCTGGAGCAGGAGCTTAACACGTTGCGTAGCGAGCACGAGGCATTAAAGAAGCAAAATCAACAGCAGCAACAACTGTCTGCCAGTGGCTCAACGGTGGCTGCTGCCAGCAAGTCGCGTCAGTTTAGCGGTAGGTGTTGCTCAGGCCTGGGCCTTTATTTTCCTGTTGTAATTATGATTTAACTTCTTCTGTTTTCTATATATATTTATATTTATTTCGTGTCCCTCTCAAAGATGAAATATTTTGTTAGAAAATATCTTACGCCATTTGCAAGGTGATTTGTTTTCTCATTCCTTGTTTCGTACTTGTGATGACTGCACCATACAATTTTCGCAAATGCATCACCTCACACCCAAACACACACAACGCTCCCACTGTAAACACGCCAGTCAATGCTAAGTTAGTATACAAGATTTTCGCGGTAGGCGGTTGAAAGAGACCTTAGCACCTTTTGGGGATAAATCGAATACTTGTATTGTTTGGCCATACTAAACCTATTCTGCATTTCAGAACATTAATGGTAGTGGGATTTATATTATATTTATAATGTATAGCTAAGATTGTATTTTACTATTATTGTAATTATGACCGTTACAGGTGACCTCAGAGTTTGCACATGCTTACAACACGCTATAATTTCTTCATAGTTTATCTTACACTTACTGATAAGGCTAAGCCAAAAGCACCTTATATGCTTTACAGAGCTTAGAATATAATTCAAACATGACTTGATGCTTTGGCCCTGTTTATAGAAAATGATTTCCATATTTCTTAAAGGTATAAACATGTCAGATAGAGACATGCTTCTAGTTAAATTTACTTGTACTATAGATGGATAAAGCTTTTAATCACTGCTTTGGGTATAAGGAAAAATGAAATAATATAATAGAATATTGCTCATGCTAAAGATTTAGATTTATTTTGAAAAAGTTTGAGTTTGATTAAAAAAAGAAATATATCTGCAAAGGTATATATACATATGTCTATGTCGAAGCTTTGTAGTAACGAAGATTACTTTAATTTTTATATTTGCTATATATATTTGTATTTAGCTTCCCATTGCTAATCGTAAATTTAATACATTTTACAGACGACGCATGTGCCACGCCTATGGTAAACATTGCGAAAATAGTCCAACCAACCGCGACGGTGACCAGCATGCCGGTTTCGGGCCCACAAACGGGCATAGCACGCTCCATTGTGCCAGGCCAAAATATACGCAGCGCCGCTGTTGGCATTGCCACGGTGCCAACGGGGACCGCCACCGCACCCACGGCCCCATCTACCCTGGCTGCCGTGAATCACAACAGCAGCACAGTCGCTACAACGGACGTTGGAGCCGCTGCTTCCAGTGCAGTTGTGGTAACTGCTCCACCATCACCTTCGCCGGCTAAAATGCAGCCAACGGCGACCATACAACGTGCTCCGGGCGGCAAGTACGCAGCACTGGCTGCTGCTGCAGCGCTGGATCAGACCGCAATACCACCGCATCCACATCCTGTGCCCATTGCAGTGCCACCTGTTACCGTGCCGCCGGCAGGGGCACGCGGCGCACCACCACCCATACCAACTAAGCCAATTGTACCGCCCAAGCGCGAGCCTTCGCTGTCGCGCTTGGGCTCCATAACGAGCGGCAATGCTGCTGCCACAGCCATTGCCGCAGCTGCGGCAGCAGCAACGGCTGCTGTGGCGGCTACCGCAACCACAACAACTGCCTCTTCGACGAGCGCAGCAGCAGTGGTATCGGCGACTACGGCGAAACATAATTAGACACCTTCCTAGACATCTTTCGACATACATATATACGCGCATTATACCATATAGCATATAGAAAAAGCGAAAATACTCAAAACCGAATATAGCTCCACACAACAATTGGCCGTAATACTACTTAAGAGGGTACACTCCTTCTGGAGTGTAAGTAAAAAGTATAAGATTCTTTGACCACGCCAAACTCAGACAGTCAAATACGTTTTTCCCCAATTTACTCATATACATATTTGTATGAAAAAGTTAAGGATTTTATCTTTGAAAGTAGGTCCTGTGCTTTGATTAATTCTGTTATTATTTTCCGTTTTACTATTAGCTTTGCAAAGCCATGCAAAGAATGTAAGCATAAGAAAATAACAAAGTGCTTTAGTTTTTCTTTTAAATTGTTTTCAAGAGTCACTTAAAAGTGTTTTCATTGTTTCCTCCTTTCCATCGCTGGATTTGTGTATGTAATTCCGTGTGTAGTCGTTAGTAAAGAACATTTGTACAAGGCCGTACGATTCTCATTATCATTAAAAAAGAAAATAAATGAACATATAGTAATTATATACCCTTATATAGTATACGGACTACTCCATTGTGCTCTGTGCGTTGTTTGTTAGTTCTTAGGTGCATAATCCCAAATACTGTGCAGCTATAAACACAACTTTATGTAATTACCTATAGAACGTTTTAGGTTTTTAATTTCGTTTTAAGTTCGGCTTAAGCATTTTAATTTGCCTTATGAAAATAAAAGAACCTAATCTTATAGATTAGAACGTTAAATTCTAATCAGGAATACAATATTAAGTATCCAATTCAATTTCAAATTTATACAGTTTGACATGCGTTGTGGCCAGTCTCTTTTGGCCAAAAGAGGCTGTCCTGGTCAGACAATTAGCGTTGTTGGTACTTACAGTAAATAATAGCAGACAAAAAGAGGCACAAATTAACAAATCGTATGAATAACAAGAAATTAGTAATGCAATAAACGTTTACAACAAATTACGATTACGATGTATTTAAAAGCGAAAATATAAAATAAATTAAACTACAAAAGAAGTATGCTTAAAAATCACGTTGCGGGTGCTGTATTCTCAATAATCATAGCTCTGGACAGGTTTCGGGCGCATGCCAAACGCATTAGATCCAGTATCTCCTCAACATTCTCCACACGGTAGTCCTGGAACACGGTCTTCGATGTTTGCTGTTTGATGCGAAAAAGTGGTAAGTGCAAATGGAAAACTTTTAATAATGAATGTAAAAGCTTGCTTACATTATTAAACTTGGCAGTGTTTAGTTTGTTGCGCTCTATTAACGGCACTAGCTCCATTTCGAGATGCTGTAATATAGCAATAGTTTCCTTGCAGAATATCTTTGGATCTTCAGACTCCAGCAGCGGCAAGGCATCAATGAGCAGCGATGGCCAAAAACTGTTATTAAATTACGTATTATTCAAAGCGTTACAAATTTAATGAAAATTACTTACTAATCGGGCGTGATTTTCGAAGCGAGCAGGTTGATGAGCAGCTCGGCACCGGAAAGAAAGTCACGTTGGCGGTAAAATTCATAGAACTCAAAATACTTGGACAGAAATACTAAACGGGGAGAGACAAACATGCGTGCCCCAATACTCGTTATAACATCCGGACAAAGCATAACACCCGAACTAGAATAGTGCTGCGGATTATAGTGCGTGTAATGTATTAAGAGCACAAACAAAAAACAAATGAGATCAAAGTTACCTTCAGTATAAAGTCGGCTACGGCTGTAACTAACAACACATCCTTTGAGCGTACGGCCCATTCCAGTGCGCTGCCATAGCGCTGATCGGAATACGCGCGCTTCGATAGCACCTTACAGATATCCTGCTCGACGTTGATCAGGCCGCGTTCCTTGGCCATTGCTATAATCTTGAAGGCTTGACGCTCGCTCTTTAGTGGAATGCGTGGCAGCAGCAGCTCAATGGCAGCAATGCCCTCTTGTTTGCAACAATCTAAATAATCAATGCCCAGCTGCCAGAGATTGTGCGAGGTCATTAAAAAGCTGCCATACTCAAAGATCATGGAGTGTCGCAGCGCCGAGAGGTCGCTATAGGGTCAGACATTAAAAGGATACATTATGTTGTAGTGCCATGGTACTTACACGTTCTGTTGGTCGAAATACGCCTTGAGCTGACCCGTGTGGTAGATCAAATCGATAAGATGTGTAGCAAACAAATGGCTGTCGTTGAGCTTTTGTGTATCGTAGATGAAGAGCTTGACATCGTGCTCCATCAGCTGCATCACCATACGACTCATTTGTGTCATCACCCAGTCGGGTCGTAGCCCTAGCCAGCGGTTCAGCCAATTACTGGCAGCTATGCGTAGCTCAAAGGGCTTGCAGGCGGGCCTCGTGTAGAGCAGATAGCCGGGTAAAAACTCATACCAGTCCTGCGACTTGAGCAGTGCCGCATCCCAATGCTCGTTACTGCCCGAAACCAGGTGCATTATCAGCTCTAGCTGCGGCTCGGCAGCAAATACATGTGCACTCAATTTTCGCTCCAAATCAACATGCCAGTACTCCCACTGGGAGCAAAACTTTTGCAATGCATAGCCATCTGTATAAACCGGCATCGTTTTAAGCACCTGCTCAGCTGTTTGGAAGGCGGGCTGGTTAGATTTGCGATTCTGCGAGAGTATGGCACGCGTTACATCTAGTTGGCCGAGCATTATAAGCGTCTTCAACGTATCCCAATAGCTATCGCACTCGCTGGCCTCCTCGGCCATGAGCAACAAATCAGTGGCATGATCTTCTGTATTGGGATAATGAAAGCGCGTCCACTCCAACAGTTGGGGGACAATCAGTTGGCTGTGCTGCTGCTGCATGTAGAGTATCTCGAACAGATGCCACAGACACTCGATTGCATAAAAGGACATGATGGCGTCCGTATAGCGTTGTTCCCTAGACTCATTCTCTTGAACTTCCGGCAATTTCTTCGCTTGCTCGAGCTTCTCTAAGCAACAACGAATTACGCTCCGATACGTTCGAGAAATTTTTATGTATTCTATTGTTTTTTTTGGGGCCCCCTTTGACCCCTGGCCAAGTGCTTGTAGCGTTGCAAATGTGGCATTTGTCTCAGCCAGCAAACTGCGAAGCAGCGGCTCCGTGTAAAGCGTCGTCTCCTGAGCCATATAAATCAGCACCGCTTCCTCGCCTGCCGTTTCGCTTGGTACGTCACGCGTATTCCATTTAACCGGCCGGTAAGCGCTCAGTGCTATTTTGGAGCCCCCTGGCACAAATCTTGCGGTAAGTGTGTTGCCGCAGCGCATGGCGAGTGCATCGCCAAGTTCCTGGAAATTAAAATTATTGATTAGAGTTTAACATATACTTGTAACAAAAACTTACGAATTGTGGCACGGTATCCTCACTCATATTAAATTCTTAAAACTGTAATCTTAACAAAACAACTGTCAAAAGCAAGCAAGCGCGTTTTTATATGCGGCATATAAACCAGTGTTGGTAAAGTGTCGGTATAGTGTAGTGTTGAGAATATGTTGGCAATGTATCGAATATTTAAAAAGGCTAATATGCTGATACAACTTGCAACGGTCTTTTCATCTTCCTTACGGAAATCAACGAGTTAAGATCTTCTTTGAATTTCTTGGCTCTTTTCTTATAATAAATTAAATCTGAGGTATATGATGCGTAAGAGAAATGTATAAATTTTCAGATACATAAGTAATCCATCTATTTACATATTTTAACCAGAATATACATTTATATAAGGGATTACAAAGAACACATGTATCTTAAGTTTTGCCTTCCGGTCTTTTTGACAAACACAAATGTTAAGTGTGTCCAAATCAAAAATTCTATAATATGTTTTATATTTGAATGCATTTTATCTTAAAACATTTTAAGTTATAATCTGTTTTGACGCGCTTAGAATAGACACGCCGTGTTCAAGACACAACAGTTTTTAAATCGTCCATTCAGTATTCAATGCACTGAATGGTGTTAAATATTTGTTAAGTTGCTTACAGCTGTTAATGTTTACTGCTCTGCAATTAATTTTATGACTCTTTAGTGCTGTTAAACGAGTGAGAGTATTGCCAGCTCGAAATTGTTTCCCTTGATGCTTTGCCGCTAGCTCTTAAAGTTATTGAAATTGACGTTTCCGTTCTTATTCATACAAATCGTAAAATCAAAACAAAATGGAAATCGACGATCTTTCGGCGATTTTGTCGCTGTTTGAACGCAATGTTAACAAATTACGAACAAATTTAAGTGCCTATCAAGTTGAAGTAGATGCTGTACGTCAGTCGCTTCTAGAAAGCTGGTCGCATGTTGGGCGCGCAGACGGTCGCATTATTTCTGTTCACGATGCTCTCCTAGGTAGCGTGAACGAGGTCAACGAATATATAATCAAATTGAATTTACGCATCAAGCTTAACGGAGCATTTGGCATTTTTAAGAATGTGGATGGCAAAGAAATTCTCAATAATCTACGACGAAAATCCTTGGAGCACAACAATTATAAAGTGAACCACACAAATCTGGATGGCATTGAGGTGGGCGAGCTGGACGTACATACAGTAGGCGCTAAACAGTCAGAACAGCTCAAAGGTGATGCATTACAGCTTGTAACGCCAAACCGTTTTAATAATAAAACAAATCAATGTACGTATGAAACGCCCACAGCTCGCGAACCCTTAAGTAGCACAGCTTCATCTGTGCGGCTTGCCACAGTACAGGAAAATGCTAAGCTGGAAAGCCTCTCAATCCCAGCTGCACCCACTGCTCCACCTAAACTACCCATTCCTCCACGCCAGTCAAAGCTGCTGCCACCAATTGGTGGCAGGCAAATGACAAGCAATGAAACGTACGATCAGCTGGCGAAAAACATAAGTAGCTTTGCCAAAGACAGCATTGTGCAGGTTACAATGATGCATCTCAATATTGCGGAAAATTGTATTTTCGTGGCTAAGTGGGGTCAGGAATCAACGCCGTTAAAAAAGTTGCTGGCGTGCCAAATACCAATACAGGAACTAAACCAGCTGCCCGATTTTGGAGAAATATTTGCTGTCTATGATGCTCAGGAGCAGATAATACCACGTGTGGTGATCAATGCATATACAGAGGGTGGCGGCTATGATGCCTATTTACTGGACTATGGCGAACATATTCACTTGGATGACGAAGAGGTAATCTTTTCGCTACCCAATGAAGTGAAGGTGCTGCCGGCCGAGGCTGTCAGATGCTTTGTTCGCAATCGGGAAGTGGGTAGCATGCGTCAGTTTACCTATAAAATTGTGAGGGTGCGTGTTTTGGAGAACAGTAGCAACGATCTAGTGGTTGAGCTCATGGAGGACGGACATCCTGAAGAAGAGACGCAGTCATCAAACCATTTTCCCAGCCTTGAAAATATTCAAAAAATCAATTTGGATTTAGATTTAGAGGAGCAAGCGAAACCCAAAGAGGCCAACGTCGTAAAGGAAACGCATTCGGCAAAAACTGAACAAGAATTAGCAGAACCAACTCTAAAATTGTGTCCAGCTGATTTGGAAATGCTAGAGAACATTGAGTGCGGCACCAGTGATGCGCTCAAAGCTGTGCTGGGCTTTAAACCAACTGATGATCAACGTATTTGCCGCCATTACGATCCAAAGATCAAAGGCTGCTTTAAAGGTAAGCCCTGAATAGTTATAAACTCTTGGATAAAACATATGGGTCAAAAGTTGTAAGGCAATAGTTTAATCGGTTTCAAGCCGAAAATGGGAAAACTTTTGATTGTCACTTTTAATACGATCGACCTGAAGCGAAATATAAGATAGTGTTTATGTACAGAATTGCAAATTCATTTGAAATGGGTGCAGAATTTCTAAAGAATAGTTTGTAGGTCTTTTATATGCAGACCTGTCGATCATTTGAATTTTGTGTTATTTTTTTTCAGGTACTAATTGCCGCCTGTTGCATCAGCCTTTTGCGCCACATGGCGCTACCAAGGACACCGAGCTGGTTGAAGCATTGCCTGAGAGCATATATGTATCTCAGGCGCACAGAGATTTGGGTAGCGTGGTGCGCGTGCTGGTCACGTTTATCAAGAGTCCAACCCAGGTGTATGTGCAGTTTGTAGATGACGTGCCGCCGCTGGTTTGGAGCAAGAAAGAAGTTCCCGAGTCGCAGTGTAAATTTAAACAGTCTCCGCATGTGCTGGACATGGTGATGGCGCTTTACACCGATGACTGTTACTATCGTGCGCAGATCATTGAGGAGATCGACGGGGCATTTAAGATCTTTTATGTGGACTATGGCAACACGGAGTTTGTCACAATAAAGTCGCTGGCACCGTGCAGCGATGCCATCAGCCTAAAACCGTATCGGGCCAACAATTGCTTCATTGAGGGCGTTAAGCGCAGTTCCTTGGCTTCGCAACAACAAAACGCCGAGTGCGTAGAGTTCCTTAAAAGTAAAATTCTCAATTCCGAGTTCGATGTTATGCTGATTAGCCATATGCCCGATAATGGATATGTGATCAAGTTCATGGATCGTTATGCTGATGTGCCCAAGCAGATGATCAAACGTGGCTACGTGGAGCCCACCACCGATAATTGGCAGCACAGCGACAATAGTATATAACAGTCCTAAACAAACACTAACTATAGTAGCATTTTCTTTACACATTAGTAGTAAATATTATAGCTTGTAAAATTCTGTATCTGATGAGTAATTCGAATGCAGCAGCGGCATGCCGGATGAGGAAAGCGGCAGATCAGCTCGCCGATGTCGAAAACTTTTGACAAGTCGCATCAGCTGGGTAGTTTTTATTTGCTTAGCCGCATTTGTTTTGACAATGGGCTATTTGTTTTACCCGAAAAAAAAGTAGAATACAACAAATACGCTATGGAGGAACCTTTTTTTTTTTTGCAATTAATGCCTATGTAATTATGAAAAGCATAAGTTTATGAATATATATATATAATTGGTTTATGCATTGATATATTTTGCACACATCTTTAATTTCAAGAAATCTACTGTCTATGGTGGTATCTTTTCACTGCCCGTTGAAGTAAAGGTGCTGCTGTCCGAAGTTATCAGATGCTTTGTGGGAATTTGGTAGCGTGCATCAGTTTACCCATAAGGATGTGAGGGTGCGTGCTGTGGGGAACAGTGACAACCATCTAGTGGTTGAGATCTTGGAGGATAGACATCCTAAAGAGTCCATATTATAAGTCTTCATATTGTGATCAACTTCTTAGATCGAAACTGACGAGCCCAAGCTAGTGATTAAGCTTCATAGAAACCGCCATGGATAGTGGGATTGGGGGTATGCCAGTTACTACGTCCAGATAGTAACAAATGTAAAATCTTAAAGCATACATATTTTATATAAACAAATTTGAAAGCAGAACAAATTGACCCAGACGTTGGCGATAAAACAAACAAAATCTAAAATATATGTATGTATATATATGTATATATAGTACTAGCGGGTATAACCCGGCCTTATAAAATCAAAAAAGCTTTGAAAATGATTTTAAAACTGATCGGACGGGAATCAAACAACTTTTATGCAAATCGAAAAACTTAAAATTCACCAAAAAAATCTTAAAAATGCATTTTCCACCGAAGGAGTTTAGATTTTGCGAAAAATGTGAAACACGTCTCAAATGATTTTTCTTATAGATCTTTGTAAATAAATTTGAACACAAAACGTCATCCACCAAATCTTCGACCCCATTTGCACCAAGGAGGGATGGATTTTTCAAAAAGTGTGAAACACCCCTCAAATGAATTTGAATATAGATCTTTAAATATGAATTTGGGGCCGATCGGATGGTAAACAAAAAACTTTCATACAACCTTTTTCCGCCAATTTACCACTGTTGCGGGTGGAATTTTCCAAATCGTCGAAATACGTATTCATTAAGTTCTTATTGAGAGCTTTGAAAATAAGTTTGAAGCAAATCGGACACAACTTAAAACTTCGCACAAAAAATCTTTAAATCGCATTCCCAACGAAGAAGTTTGAATTTTGCGAAAAGTGTGAAACACGTCTCAAATGATTTTTCTTATAGATCACTGGAAATGAATTTGAGCGCGAAAGGTCACCCACCAAATCTTTGACCTCCATTTCCACCAATGAGGAATGGGTTTTCCGAAAAGTGCGAAACACCCCTCAAATGAATTTGAACAAAGATCTTTGAAAATAAGTTTGGGGCCGATCGGATGGTAAACAAAAAAGTTACATACAAACGTTTTTCGCGATTTTTCCACACTTGCAAGTGGAATTTCCCGAAACCCCGTCTTAACGTGCACCTACATCACATAAGGTAGCTACAGTGAAAATTTCCTAGCTCTTACGGTTTGGGCTGTGCGTTGATCACCAATCAGTCAGTCAGTCAGTCAGTCAGTCAGTCAGTCAGTCAGGGTTTGTTTTATATATAGAGATATATATGATATATGTATATATAGTATAGATAGATGTGCTTCATAAGCCTAAGACTAGCATTTCAATGCTAATAAGGTTAACGGTTTTCTGTATTGAATATGGGTTTATACACATTTGATCGGACTTACACCTGTGTTATTTAAAAATGAATTTCCCGAAAAAATGAAAGCAACAACGTATTATTTACTTATATAGCAAAAGACACTGCTGTGAAAAGACTTTCAGAACTGGACTATATTCATGCAGTATCTATCAGTTGGTTAGATAAGTCTTGATAAATGCATAGACCTATATGTCAAACTTTTGATTAATGGTAAAAGGCGCCTCATTAACAGTCATTAAAGCATAACGACAAAAAATCATGGTCTTCGAGCTGAACTGTTGTCGCAAAGCTTGAAAACTAAAACAATAAAATAATAATACTAATTTACCATAATGTGCAAAAGCAACAGCAGTAAAGTTTTGGCCTGGTTGGTATCCAGGCTCGAGTTCGGTCAGGTCGTCGTCGCCGTGGGTGCTAATAGATTATGCCGCAACGATTAGAAAGGCAATAAATAACACCTGGCGGAGATCACATGCGTGTACGGCCAACTTATCGGGTCACATGGGGAAGAACAAAATGACGACTCGCTCGCTTTGTCCTGGTGTTGACAATTTAAATGTTTTAGCAGCGACCAAAACCAAAGGGTAGAGCGTTAGTGTATTTCAACTTAACTCGGACTTATCAGGGATATGCCGTGTTGTGTGGAACAACTGCATAACTGGGTATTTTATGTATGATGGATACTTGGAAGAACTTTTCAAAATTTATATTTTTAAATATTTTCTCAAGTAACTTACCAATTAAATTGAATGATTCCAGCTTTGACAGCATGGATATATCTTCTTGCATATGTTTAAATTGATTTGTGATTCTTCAATATGCATATATTTTGAAATGAATTTCTTGTGGAGCATATATTAATTTTATCAAAATTCAAATTCAAAATTTATTCATCATATTTTGCCACCGATAAAAAGAAAAATGAGAAGTTCGGGATATTTTCGATATTACCTTTGCTTACTTTTGCCTGAAGGTTTTCCATAGCATGGTGAAGCTCGTTAATGCTGAGTTTGATGAAAATATCGTGGAAAACAGAATATTTGGCCAACTAATATTTCGACCTATTCTTCCTATAGTGCTATATAATATAGTAGAGCGATATTGATAAGATTTGGCTCTTATGCAAGCATCATAGTTTAACTAATAAATGCCGGGCTTTTATTGTAATATTTAACGTGGGATGACATATGAAATTAGGTTGAAACGTTAGTATTCTGTAAAGCACAAAATCATATATACTACGGTACACACACCTGCTGAGACCACCCTACACGATAATTACATGAGTATTAAACATAGGGTTAAGTGTCAAAAGGATGAGAGGAGACCCTTGACATATGTTCCAAACCAGGCAACACACATAATGATGATGAGCCTGAACCACCCTCCATGTGCTCAACACAAATAAAACCCACATTTACAATTTTGGTACATTTATTTATTTATTTATTTTTTTTTTGGTTTGAACAATAATTTTGATGGACTGAGACACAGGAACACAACTATTTGAATTTCTAGAGTAGTTCGGGCGTTGCGGGGAACACACAACGTATAAACGAAATTGAATAACAAACAAACAAAACTTGGCCTGCTGCATTTGGCCTTTGCTAACAATTGGAGCCACGCCTGTTGCATTTGTGGCGCTGACCGTTTAGGGAGTTGCCCCCGTCCAGGATGTCAGAGTTGACCTTCTGCAGTTCGGCAATGCGCTGCCAGGTGGCGCAAAAGTGCCGCACATTGCGAGCATTGGCCAACTTGGCAATGGGTCCCAATGTGCGATAACCGTTATTAATGTAGCGTATAAAGCCCTTGGCCGACAAATCCATCACAGCCGTCTTCACCTGAGCCTCCAAATCGCCGCAGGCAAATGATCTGCAAATGAATGGACTCAACTCTGTGTGCCTGAATGTGCCTTTGGGCAAAACTCACTCCTTCTCCAGCATCTCGACAATATGTTTCTCCTTAATGCCATTCACATATTTGGGATGATCCTGAAATATGCGCACCATATCCATAATGTACAGCGGCAGATGAATGTGATAAGAGTTTGAATGCATCATCAAAGTTGTTGGCTCGCAGTCGCTTATGGGCGTCTCTTCGCACATTTTAAATAAGAATTTACGTTTACTGTTTGCACGACTTAAATATTTAGTTATTTTGTTTTTCTGGATTTAGAATGTATATCAGATTGAGATACTATTTGAGCATACATTTTGTGGAGACAACTAAAGCACTGCTAATGATACCATCGGCAAGGTCTACTAGGTTACAGCCCTCGGTCAAAGTGCTAATGTCATCCACTTACAGGTGTCATTAACAGTTTGTCCCGTGATGTTTGCTTTCAGTTTGCTCTTCAATTATCAGCCGGAGCCGAACAAATATTGTAACAATTACATGTTCCTTTCTTTTTTTATTACCTAGTAATTTGAATAATACATAAATAGAGCTTTCCCAAATAAGCCTCCCATTGCATTAGCTGGCGGGTCGCGTTCCCTAGGGTGTGTTAAGTGGCAATGAGGCATTTGGGCAAGTAAAAGGTATTTGGTTGTGGGCTCAGGGCTTAAGTCGCAAACATTGTATAGGTATTGGGGGTTTAATTGTTGTATACCCCGAACCCATTGAAAGTAGGCAGTAAGGGTATATTAGTTGAATGCAAATGTATGTAATGCTTCGATCTCAGATACTGTTAGACCTAGATACTTGAAATTTGTAATATAAGTTCTCCTTTGGTGAAGTTGGTTTCAAATGATCGATAACTTACGCCGTTTCCATGAAATTGTTAAATCTCGACACCGGTATCCTGTTTTTTGAGTATATGTCGGAGCTTAAAAGAGTATGTAGGCTCTCTTTAAGTGTGTGCAGATCCAATATAAATATTTTTTTGGAGCTATAAGAGGGGATTTGGTATTTACACACATTCTCATGCCATCCTTAAACCCTGAAAATCTCATTAATATCGGTCTAAAGGCAGCCAAGTAACACAGCAGCAGCATTGAGGGCGAGTTCTGTGAGAGTTTCTAGAATAAAGTTGGAATGGTTGTTACTAATTTGGTTCAGTGATTCGCAACCAACAAACCAAAATCAGCGAAGATTATTCTTGATTATTTTCAGAGTTTTTGCTCGGTCTTTTTTATGGTAGCATGTATGTATATATTCTAATTTTCTTTTCCAGAATAGTTTAAAAACTCTAGCTTTTATCTTAAAATATTCTTCTGTGTATGAGACTTTTTCGCAGAAATTTTGAATGTGTGTAAAGGTATCTCGACTCGGGCTTCAGGGTATTTCCTAGTCGGGCATTCCCAACTAGAGCAGTCTTGGTTATTTTTAATAGATGATAATTTTCTATTTGTGCACAATTAATTGTCAAAACACAATGTACAGCAAAGTATAATGTCGATTTTCCTATTATAGCTAAATCTCCTTTGCAAGGGACTTAGATAAGTGAGGGATTTCCATATACTTTGTGCTGAGGCCATGCTTTCCTCCAAATTACAGATTCGTAATGTTCTGGTGAGAGTTAGCAGAGTCAATTCGAAAAATCAGTACTGACTTAGTTTAGTATTGACTTATTTCTTCTTCTTATTTAAAAGTTGTTTTATTTAGCGCTTTTCTTTCCGGCTGTATAGGAAGCTTTCCCGTTACCGTCCGATTAGGTCATCAGCTGCTTTGTTTTTAAACCTACTTTGCTTCCCTTTGTTTCACAATTCTCAGACCCGCCTGGTCGTTATGGCAATATCTGAGTTAGTTACAATGACTAGAATTTTATAGTACTAATTTCCCTCGCTTTGTCACCGAATCCTCAGTATCTCTTGCGTTATTGATATTCATACATGCCAGACATGTCAGACTGTGCACGCAATCGTTTTTACCATACTCTAGCTTTAACTTTCGAACACCGTAAAAGACAAAATGATACCCCCAAAAAGCAGGACAGTCAAAGGGTTAACTATGGTAAAACTTTTGCCAACAGATAATAATATTAGCGCATACATTATGAAATGTTGTTAGGATGCCACCGTCAACTGTCGCTGACTTCCGGTTTTGGGCGGGGACGACCAACTGGCAATTTCTTTCACCCGAACAGGTGACAGTTTCTCAAACTAAACGGGTTGAAGAAGACCCACGCCACGACTGACATGTGGTAAAATGCTCTATGGGTAAGGTTATCAAAACCTAATGGCAATTACATTGGTTTATTTGTTTCAGTCATGCTCAAAGAATAGTTGCACAGACCCTTTGATGGCTTCATAAGTTAGATTAGCTAAATTGAGGGCTGACTTGCCATTTTTTTGGACTATAATTACTATAAAACCAACTTCCTATGCTAACTGAATATCTTGTTTCGAGTAAGTTATATGTTGTGTGCCTCGTCAGGAACTTTACCTTTATGTTAACCGACTTTCATAGGTTGCAAAAGCTTTTGATTGACAGCCCACGTGACTTGTCAATTTTACTTGGGCGAGAGACCAAAATATATGTAAGGATATACCTGGGAGTACCTAAAGAAGAGATAATGAATTAATTTCTTAACTAAAGGAACTTGATTATAGATGAAACAATTTAAAGTTTTTATTTTTCAACGAACGAAAAACAATTTTTGTAAGAGTACTCTAGAGGGGAGTGAACGACTACAAAATACCCAGCGACTGTTTCTTCTAACCCTTGACCCATGCTATGAGATATCTGTTCTTGTTTATAGTCCGATTCTTATTACTTTAATAGCCCAAATATTTTTCAAATTTCGATGGGAAAAACTGTGTATTAATTTATTGCTAATAAAATAATGAAATATTCTACATCTGTGTTTATTCTACGAGAACATACATACATATATACAAAGTAGGGTGTATCTAGATTTACAATTTAAGAATGGTGCCATGAATCGTATTCTATTTTTGCTTTCCGAAAAATTTTAACATAATTTTTCCACCATTTATCGCTCAAAGGTAAATTTCAAAAATATTTTAAGTCGGCAGCACGAAAACCTAAAAGTTGCAATTAATATTTTGCGCCCAGTTTTCAACTATGTGAGTTGACTTTTCAAAAAGGATTATCCCGAAAAAGAAATTTCATTGCGGAAAAATACGAATTCTAATTGTCTGGAAAATCTTTGAAAATAATCAAAGGATAGTAAGCAAAAATGTTTGATGTAATTGTTTTCTACAAATTTTTTAGAATTGAAAGGTAGGGTAAGAAATTCAGCTTCCTAGCTTTTATAATACGTCAGTAGATCCATAAATAATTAACATATATATATAACACATACAATACATTATTATCACTTCCCTGTCTGAAATTTAATATATTTAAAGACCTCTAGTAGAATAATTCATGTACTTCAACTCGTGCTTGTCGGCTCTCGTCTGCCCTTTAACCCCTATTCGGGCGGGCAATTACAGCTATTATTCTTAATCGTAATGTTTCATCTATAAAATGTTGCTCGATCGAAAGCGCAACGGTAAATTCCTTTATGGTCCTTTTCTGAGCCCCCATATCCAGGTATATGCCAACCCGCCCATTTCCATGTCCGTTCGATCATTCTCATTGGTTGTTGAAAAAAGTTTTCAGCCCTACGTTGGGCCATGCTGCATAATAGTTGGCCAACTCATATAACCCTGTCTGGACTCTTGCCCAGAGTCAGGCAACACCCCCAACGAAATCAGAACGACATGTGGTCAACAACTTTTGATATTCCGGACATTTTTTTTGGCTCCTGTCCAAGCGGCGGCTTTGAGGGGGTGGCTAATCAGACTAACCAGTTATATGAAACCCTTATAACTGTGCAGCAAAATAAATGTCATTCAACATGGAAAAGTGTCATGTATTTGACGAATAATTACCGTCAACATTGCGTGATTGGCTGAATCAACCGGAAGGCGGCCTGTGGCGCTATGGCTTAGATTTAGTCCTAACTGCTCTGGGGTTGGGGTTGGGCATGCCCCGTTGGGGCTGCCCTCTGTGTGTATGTGTGTGTTTGTGACAATAACCTATAATTATCTAGCAGCTAGGCAGTCAGACCGTAGGCAGGTGGTCGTGTGGACGGTTGGGCAAACTGGGAATACGCGCCGCAGGCTCAGAGACAACGCGGCACTCGGCGCGAACGGAACTCAAAATTCTTTGTCGCCGGAGTTGTGGGAGCTGCTCAAAATGTATTCGCCCGCTAAATCGCCCATAGTAGACGTTACCGAAACCATCTCCCTGCACAGCGAACTGGACATTGACCTGGAGCCAAGTTGCAACTCAACCCTCACGATACCAGCAACGCATAGTCTGCGCATGCCGCTGCCTGGACTGGCATTGCCCAGTCTCTTGGCCTCCAAGTCAAATGGCGGCATTCCTGGTGCTACGTTACCCGCCTTTGAATATATTGCGCCGCCGAATCATGCGCTGCAGAGTCTTGACTTTCCGCTGATGGAGCTCAACCGCGTTGGCATGTTTCCGGGCTTTTTGCATCGGCGGGCACGTGGCGAAAAGCGACCTATACCAGATGCCCAGAAGGATGCCAAGTACTATGAGCGACGCAAGCGCAACAACGAGGCAGCCAAAAAATCAAGGGATGCCCGCAAAATACGCGAGGATCGCATTGCGTTTCGAGCCGCGCTCCTGGAACAGGAGAACTCCATACTGCGCGCCCAGGTGCTCGCCCTGCGCGATGAATTGCAGACGGTACGCCAACTCCTGGGCGCCACAACGTCCGGCATGTTGGGCGTGGCCAGGCAAGTCTGATACCATTCCTGGACATCGGAATGTACATAGAAGTGAAATTGTGTTTTGTGATTTATAGTTATAAATAAATTTTTAGATTATATATAAGGGAAAACAACTGATTCCTTTCCGAGCGACATTCAACCGGTAAATTATATGGTTGTAGGTAATCCGAGGTCTACACCTTTTCCATTTAATACCAAAAACTATTTAAACAGGTTCAATAACAGTTGAGTAGAAGTTGTCGATACAGATGGACATGACTGTGTCGACTATATATAATTGATGGGGTCAAAGATCTCTTCTTCTGTCTTTTACCTACATTCAATTGAAAATTAAAACGGCAACTCCAGAATTCTGTGGAACAGTTGACGACTTCGTCCTTGTGACAACTGATTTAATAGAAGAAAATTGTATCGGGATATTTCGAACGGTTGATTTTCCGTTTAATAATAGTGTAGCAATTATCAATGTCCAAAAGTTGCTTCGACACCATATTTCAGTTCAATCAGGTTGCAAAAATACTCGCAATGTTAGTCGTCAATTGGAGGATCTTCACTTGTGGGAATAATTTTAAAAATGTGTTTTTATTTTTTTAATATTTATCTCTATAAGCTTTTATTTTGAGTTTTTTTAGAAACGGTGTAAGTTGTTAAAAATGTGACTGTTTACTAAAAGGAAATCATTTTTTCAATAAAAGTTAAGCAAATTTATCTAATTGCGATTTACTGGATTTTATTTTGGGATTTTTAAATTATATTATTAACTCCATTCCTATATTGAAGTCGAACAAAACGAAACAAGAACTTTGTAGTCGAATGTGCCCGACAGGAAAATACCCTGTACCCCTCAGTCAAAAAACCTTTATGTTATTCGTATATCATATACACGCCATATACAAGAGGTTCGGTATATAGCGTATATATGATATGATGATTTATTTAAATAAATGAATTTATATATATTTATTTTAAAATTGTGTTAATACAAAGAACACATTTCTTTAAGCCTCCTCAGTTATTCTTTTTTCCCTTTTTAGTGGGAATAATACATAGCTTAATACAATGATCAGTATAAATGTAAAGACGAAAATTATGCAGAAAATTTTCTTCTTACGTGGTGAACAACTCATGTATCGTCGGCGAAATGATTCGCGGACTTCCACAGACGGCATTCTGCTGCTCCTGTTTAACTAGTATATGGCAAATACTAGTGTATACTTCAAATGTGTACATACCTAAACAGATATTATTAATAAGTAAAGAAAAGGCTACTATATATGTTGTTCGATCCGGCCTGTTTTATACTGTTGTATCTATCTAAGAACTTCATCTAATTGTGAAAAACTCCGTGTCCCCGAAGTCCATATATATCCTTATATACCCCAACGATATCCTCAATGATCTACACACGATAATAACCATCATCGGGGTCAATCGCAGTCGCATCGTTCTTTAATCAATTTTCCACTCTTGCGGGTTTCACTTTCTGAAACCCTAACTCCTGCGGAAGGGGTACACTTTTTGCCCATTTTCAATGGGTAGACAAATCACAAGTTTTTGTCTGATAATACGATAAACACTTTGAAAACGGTTTCATGCAACTATTGATATGTTCAGCATCAAAAAAAAAAAACTTTTCTTGGGCTTTGGTATCTTAACATATTTGGGTACCATATTAAGCGACTAAATACAATTTTCACAGCGTGAAGAAGGCAGCCAATAAGCAACTTTGTCTTCGGGGTTCTGAAAATATAATACCTATCTAAGCTTGACGACATAGTGACATCCCATGAGGGCGGCAGATATTTACAGAGGGCCGGTAAAGGTAATTGGTGATAATTTATAAATTAAATAGTTTTTTCTTTTAATATTCAGAGTTAAGTCAAGTTCAAGGAGACGAGCCACTGCTATATTAGCTAAATAATACGTAATATTACGTCCGTGAAGTTATACATACATAAAAACATATAATCTTGAGTAGATATAAATTTTCGACCGACAGTTCAAGTCGCAACTATGTCGTATGACCGCATAAAAGGTATAATGGGTATAATGTTAAATAAAATTATGTAAAGATTGAGTAGGGATAAGAAAACAACTTTATTTCACTGCTGCTCAAATTATTTGAACTAAAATAAACAATCATGTTTTAACAAACTACAAGTTGACGGAGTGCATGTGCACCTTTCCGTCAGCCGCAAGCACCAACAATTGTTGGTTCGTTGAGGAGCTGCTTGATGCAGCAATGTCCGCAACAGGTGAGCTAATCTCCAGACCAGCATCGGTTAGTTCGCGATCCAAATGAAAATCGTAGGTGCGCACAGAGCCATTAGCTAGGGCAAACAGCCGCCAACCGTCGCTGGACTGAACGAGCGACTGAACAAGATGCTGGCGCAAGACGCTGCCACTGAGCAGCAGCTGTTGGTCAAAGACTAGCAGCTCGTAGGAGCGGCGCGGCTGCTGCAGCAGCTGCAGAGCGGTATTCGGTCGCGCATCATAGTTACCGCTGGCGCTGCTTTCTATCTCCTTTTGGTCAAAGGAGCGTCGCTCGTTCAGTATTATGTTTTGTATGGCGCAAGATTTGCCCGTTTCGGGCTCGTGTTCAATAGTTGGCTGCGGCATGGCTGTTGTTGGCCGCTGCAGACGTTGACGCTGTCGCTGATTGCAGTTGAGTATTATGACGGATCCATTCGACAAGCCCACAGCCACGAAGTACTCGTTGGCGAGCACGCAAAGCGCCGTGGGAAATAGAAAGCGACTCTCATGAAGTCCGATGCGTGTGAAGCGCTCCGGTTTGAGGCTGCGCGTGCAGCACAGCACAAAGTTACGATTGGTGCACACGTAGATGAGATCGCTGCCTGTATCGATGCTGCTGAAGCGTAATCCTTGCAAGCCTTGGCCGGCGAAGGCAGTCGTTAGTGTTTGCGTTTCGTTTAACTCGCGCAGCAGCTCGTCACTGTAGATGTTGCCCTGGAACAGGGACTTGGTCTTATCGTAGGCGGTTTGGTTTCGCTTCAGCAAGCGGCGTTCCAGATAGCCACGCAGATCGCAGCTAGCCGCTTGAAGCAGCTTCACCCTTGCCCAGGGTGAGCTGTACTCATTTGGGCTGCCTGCTCCGTAGCCTCGCAGTCCACTTTCCACCAATGTCCAAATAGTGAGCAGCCCGGAATCGTTAAGCGCTGCGTACTATGGAAAGGAAATGCAACTGGTCAAAGCTGACACCACATCGAATTGCCAACTCACCTGAATATCCTTGTGTGTCAGTGCCAGACTGCTTTCCAGACCTATGCCTGATGACTTGGGTGCTGGTCGAAAGCTGCGCACTTCCACAACGGCACCTAGATCCAAGGCAGTAAACTCTTTAGTGTCCATATTGGGCACCACGGACTGAGTGGCCGCAAAATGTGTCAAGTTGCCATCAAGCTTAGAGCAGTAGCTGTAGGTTTCCCGCAGGTCCCACATGGCCATGCTGCCGTCACGTAGTCCAGCAACAATGATGTCGGGAGCCTCACTGCAGAAGGTCACGCGACACACCTCTGCCCAGGTGGAGAGCAGACGCAGCGGTTTGCTGGGATCCGTGAGAGACCACACCATCAGTAGATTGGCGAAATCATCGCGATACACATCGGACTGCGGTGGGCATTCGTGCACCGTGACTACGAGCTGCTGCTGCCCGGAGCTACCAAAGATGCGACGCACACGCAGCGCATTAAGGAGGCCGGTCTGCAACAGCGGCACATGGCGCGGCGAACGAGTTGGACACTTGGTGTTGAGTACTTTGCCCAACAACAGAGATGCTTTGTTCAGAAAGACGCCCAAGCGCTCCAAGTCGTTGGGCTTGGCCAAACGCTGTCGTTGCTGTTGTAGAGTGCGATGTTGTTCTGCCTGACGCAGCTGCTCCAAGCGCGCCAAGCTGCTTTCAAATGGATCATTTGTCTGTGCTGAAAGCATATCAAGCTCGCTGCCTGCATCTCCACTGCAGCTGAGAACCAGCTGACTGCCATAATACGGCGGATGCTGTGTCCAGCTGGTACGCATGTGCAGCTCCAGAGTCTGGCATTCGTTGTCCATGTGCTGGGAGTGCGTTTGTGTGGCCAGCTGGCAGGTATTTAGCTTGCCATAGCTTTGCATGTAGCCCTCATAGCTCAGCGGTTTCATCTCGAAGAGCTGGTAGTCCAGCTGATCGAAGCGCAACTTGCGCATTAGCTCTAAGCCTCGCCTGGTGATGACAGGTCGCGCCACGAAATCCACGTAGCCGCCGTAATGCACATCCGCTGTCGACTGACGAACGATGGGCACTTCCGGAGCTGCCGCCACGCCATAGCTGCTAATGCCAGAGTCCAGCTGGTCAGAATTGGCCATGCTGTTGGTATCGAAGCTGTCATATGGCTGCTGCGCAGCGGCACGTGGCTGCCGGCGTGAGTGCATGTCATAGTGGCCTGAATCCAATTTTCTCTCCAGCTCCTTGTCGCGCTGAATGACAGTAATGGGATTTTGTGTGGGTTCTGAGTCTTCGTCATCATCAACGTCAGATGAGTCAACTGTCAGGCTGACTTCCGCTGCTAACAACTCTGCCTCTTCACTTTCTGCTACTCGAATCTCGTCCTCCTCCAATTCTTCCTCTTCGGGCGTGCTTGCATCCGTCTCAAAATCCGATTCATAGGATTCAAAATCGTCGGAGTAATTATCTAATTCATTTTTAGCTTCCACTGCCTGCTTTTTAGCTGCCTCAAAGTTTACCTCAAATGCAACGGGCTGTTTCACTTGTTTGATCTGCTTTAGAACTTCCAGTTCACTTCGCTGCTTGGCCGACTCTCGTTTAAGCACAACTACTTCCTCTGGCTGCAGGGTGCGTGAATAGGAGCGCGCACGAGGTGGTTGCCTGTCCTCCTCGACTGTATCCACTGGCCCTGCTCCAGCTGTTGCTTGTTTTGGCTGCACTCTGCGCTTTTGCGGTGGCGATGACACTGTCACACTATGGTAAGTGTCCAGCACCGCATTCGTCTTGGCTTTACTGGCTGGTGGTTGTTTGGCAGCACGCAATGTGCTTGTAGCCTTCGTTGCGGGCGATGGGGTTGCTCGTTTACTCGTTTGAGGAACAGCCTCACGCTCTTTGTTTTTGCTTGTGTGCAACGGCGGCGGTTTTTTGGTGGTTGTTGCGGTTACTGTTGCCTTTGCAGTCTTTGTGGCTTTTCGCAGGCTTTCGCTATCAATACTGTCCTGTTGCTTGACTTTTTTCGAGCTGCTTCTCGATGTTGCAGTGCCCACACCTGTTGCAGGCGAATTGATAGCCTTGCGATGTGTTTCATTTTTCGGCTATAAAAGAAACAAAAATATTGTTCCATTTAAAAAAATGCCACTGTAGCGCTAACATTACTGCTGTTCAGACTGCGTTTTGCAACACTGATCAAAATCTAAAGCAAATCAAACTGCTCTCTTAATAAAACGATCAGTGGTTTTTCCTCTCCAGTCTTCTCAGACTAATTGCAATTGAACTAACATTAAATGCAATAAAAATGTGTGCGTATGTGTATATATTGTGCATGAGAATGTTTTCAAGAACTGCTTATTTAATCCAGTGGCAAGTGCAGTAGCGCTGTTTAGTCTGTGTTCCAAGTGCGTAAATCAAAGCTACAAGAATTAAACAATATGTGCCATATAAATTAATTGTTTGCAAGTACAAATACTAGTGCTTAAAGTGTGCAACATTTTTTCTTACGTTTGTTTTGGTGGCCGTACGCGTTGAACTCTTTGACATTTTACGCCCCCGTTTGAAATAAATGAAGTGTTAAGTAGACACGTATGTTTAATCAATTGTAGTTGTTAATTCAGTTCATTGCAAAAACCTATTATGTTGTGTCTAGTCTAATTGTTCACATAGCAACCATTCGTGTAGCATAGCAACAACAATATAAACAGCTGATATTCATCAATTGGATAGAAATCATCGATATGCACTTTACTTAAATCGTGTATATGTATTCGAATCACCAAAAGGGATTCTACACTGCTTTCACACCAAATCCCTAAACCTCCCCGCTTGACATTGAATATAGTTTTTGCTTTATTGTGAGCTGCATACCTATTTCTACCCAGAACCTTTTGCAACACTTGTTCAGTAAAACATATGTTTTGTTTTCTAAAAGTTGTTGTATTTAGGTTTCCTAAAATAATTTAGCTTTATATGTGCGCATGTACAAATTAATATCACAATAACTAAGGTTCCTTTTGTGCACTTGAGATTGACTAAAATGATAAGCGTTGCAGCAGACACAAAACGCCAGCAATCAACACCAAAACAAAGCAACTGTCGCTGGCTAAATGCGCTCCGCTGTCGTCGCCTTCGGCATCGTAATACTGCGCCGTGTAGCGCTCATAGACATGCTCCATGGAACGCTTTGCATTATCCCGCTGCAGTTCATGGGCGCTTAATAGTGCATCTGTGCTGTCTTTGAACAGAACGTCGTTTCGCTTATCGAAGATGCCGTAAAGCGAAAAGGGGCGCGTCTCGCTTTTATATTTTTTGCCAAATAGATGATCCATGTCTCGCAGCGAGTTGTAGATCTCATTGTGCCGAGTTTGCGACGAATTGTGCGTCATCAAATGCCCGCGCGGTGTCCAGTGCAGATAGCAGTACTCAAACCTTGAATGCCGTTCAATTCCGCCGTAGGGACAGAGCAGACGGTAAGACTGTTGCTTACCAGGCGCCAGCCAGTCGGATGTTAAATTGCCGCTTACATATTTCTTGTAGACATCGGAGCTGAGGAACGCCACATCGGCACCCTCGGCCAAGCAACGGAATGCACCCTCATCGCCTTGATAATGCAATGGGCACTGACGGCCCCGATGCGGATGCCAGATGCAGGAGTTGTGATTGAAGTATGAGTGCAGCGAGTGCACGCTGCCAGTGGCATTCACGATAGTTTCCAGGACGGAAAGATGGGCAGCGCCCTCATAGCTTGGTAGGCATGCGCGAGCGCCTCTCAAATCCTTAAAGCTTTTATATTTGGAATCCTTGTGCACCAGCGCAATGGTTACGTAACGATCGTGCATTTGCTCCGCAAACTCAAAGAGCAAGGGCGTCAATTTGTATTCTCTTTGTGCCTGTACACGCTGCTCATGATTAACAAGCAGTACGTCGGCGCTCTTGTAGCGGGTATCATCCATACACTGCTCCAAGTTCGTTGTGCGTACACACTGAATATTCGGCTCGACGCCATACACCTGGGCTGCCTCCTGCAACCAGGAGCACTTAATATGCTCGATTATGGACGTTGTGCAGACGACAATGGAACGTGGTGGATTGCACTCTGGGAAACTATAGGCCGACTGAAAGCCAACAGCCTGATCGAGATAATCATCTATGGAGATGACATTGTCCAGAGGCACCGTAAATACATGATATGTCTCAAGCAGGCTGAGCAACGCGTTCTGCCAACTCTGTGGCTCATCGTGTGTGAGTCCTGTGACAAGGCGCTGCACCTGAGCGGCATGTGAGCGCCGTGCGGCAACAACAGGCCACGGCTTGGACACCCAGATGCAGGGGCGGGTTACATTTATGGGCTGCAAATGTCCGTCCGGACAAAGATAGCTGTACTTCTCAGGATCATCCTGTGCCTCCAGACCCGCCAGCTATAAAATGTAAAATGTAATGTTTAGCAAAGTTCCCATTCAATGTATTCAATTATTCGCTACTCACGCCAAAGTGACTGCGTGTGTCGTCCAGGCGTGCCCAGGAGACGCTTCCGCCGCCACTGGTCAGACAGTAAAGGGTGCCACGCCGACCCCAATGCTTGTCCGTATCATCGCAGCTATAGGGATCATAGCACATTTGACATAGTGATGGATATCGATCCTTTAGAATGCGATCTTGTTTACGATCTGGCACCCAGGGACCCGCCTTGCAGCTGGGTCCAAAAAATCTAGCGGATGCAGCAATGCGATCTTCAGTTAAAGTAAGCTCAGGATTGCAGGACTTGGCCACCAAGGCTGACTCGAAATACTGCAAGAAATATGTTGTTATATTCAAAGTGGAAGTGGACCTTGTTAATCGGTTTATTGTTTCTGTTCTTACATTAGCCAACACCTCGGTCCAGTGGTTATCCAAACCATAACCAGGATGGCACAGCTTAGCGCCATGCAGATCATGGACTGTGTGTATACCGGCACTGTTATCCACTACGGCAACAATTTCGTACTCAAATGGCGACTCATGTGAACGCAGTTCGCTGGCAACCAAAATCTCCACACTGGCCCAGCGAGCTGCCACCAAATCCTCGGAGGTGAGCACACCAAAATGTGCAGTTCCCTTGTGTATGCGACGCACACAGTCCAAGCGATCCACACCAATAACGCACTCAATGTTACTCGTGGCCGTCAGCAGTGGACAGAACTGGGGCGCCTTACGATAGATACCCCGAGATTCGACCACACAGACGCGCACTGGACACAAGAGAGAATAGAATGTGAATTTGAAGCAAACAAAAAGTTTAACCTTTAGCATTCCGTTAAAAGTTTAATTAGTTTTGTGTGTGATTTAGTCGTTTATTGCGTGCAGTTTTCGGAAACAGCGGTTGGAATTAAAAATTCCCCTCTTTTGCATAAAAGCATGCGCAACCGGTTTCCTGCTCAACTCTTTTTGCATTTTGCTCTCGTCTTGGGAATCTCAGATGTCATGACAATTACGCAGAATTCGCAGGTAACAGTTGTCATGTGAATTCAAGAGAAATATTTCAATTTTGGATTTTCGCCAGTGGAGCAGGCAGTCAAGGTCGACGCGTGTCCGAATCCCCAATTTGTTACGAGACTCTTCGGAGACAGGTTTTCGGCGTGTATGCGGATGAGTTAAGCACAGCTGACAGCTTGTAAATATATATATATATATAGCTTGGATATATATATGAATTAATATATATAAATTGTGTTTAGATATTGGCTGATGTACTTTAAATGACTTTTCTAAAGTATTAAAACATTGTCAATGTGGGTTGAATGCATAAAATCGAGCACTACAACAAGTTTGAAAGCTAATAGCAAAAACTTGAAATAAATATAAGCTCTGCATCACATTTTTTTTTTAAATTATTATTATATTTTATCTCAATTCTACATTTTGCATACTCTACTTTGTCATAGATGTTTTGTGGAGAATTATAAAACTATTAATGAATGTTGAAAAATCGCTTTTAAGAGAAATACATCTTCAATGCCATTGTAGCTTTTTTTTAATACTTTTCGTGAGATCTAGATATTTAATCTTTAATTTCTTAAGTGATTTCTTAGCGTGTTTACGCTTCGGTGTGCTCAATATGTCTAGTGTTTCTTGTTTTTTATTTTACTCCATGAAGGTCGGCCGGTGTATAAACAGTTTTTTTTTAAAAAGAAATTTTTAAGTTGTTTGTGGATAAAACTTTTTTTTTTTGATTAACATATGCTAATGAATTTTTAGGACTTTGTTGTTGTTGAAATAAACATATCTTTCAGTCGCTTCTGACGTTTTTTAAATACTTTGTTTCTTGATTGATGTGCATTTGTGTTTAACACCACTTTTTAATTTTTCACTGCTTAAGATCAGACTTGTATATATTATAGCTACCACAGCACTTTTAATAAATGGATTTTCAGCTGTATTTAATGCTTCAAGTCATTTAGATTTATATTCTGTGCTTTGTTGAAGATAATTTACACTTATTTTTGTGTAATTTAAAAAAACACCACAATAGATTTTGTAATTGATTTGCATTTAATCGGTTTGTTTATTCAAAAGAGTTAAATAGTTCATAAAATTCTCACACAATAAACAATATAATCAAGTGCACCAATTAAATAATATTCCATGTATTTCTATGCCCTCAATCTGGACTTACATTTGCCATCGTTGAGTGGTTCGACAGCCTGACAAGTAGATATTGATAGGATCGGGAGAAACGACCAAATAAACATTGATATCAGCGGCTGCATTGTTGTGTAGGATGTGTATTTAAAATATTTTAAAAGCACTTTGTTTTAATGAAAGTCAATTAGTCGCGCTATCAGCACTCGGGCCACAAAGAACGCCTACCAATATTTACATGCATATATAAATATGTATATTTGTATATACGCGACCAGGCAGTATCAATATATATATATATATATATATTTATATGTATATTGGATGTGCTTAAGCTGAGAACGCGCTGAGATTCAGTCGACCACACGCGACGGACGAACAGCGGCGACTGTCTGACCGCCTCCGTTGGAGCTTACGTCGTCAGCTGCGGATGCAACGAATAAAACTTGTTTCAATCCGAGATTCAAAAATCATCGCACGTAAACAAAAGCAACGCACAGCCGCTGACGCTGACTCAGACGGCGCTTGGGCTATTCCAGGTTTTGATTGATTGATCAGAATCCATGGGAGGTGCGTTTGGGGGAATTACATGCCCAAAGATCTAGCCCGTTCAGCTGCCAAAGGGGCCAAAAAACTCTGCTGAACAAAACGGATTGGAAATAACTTAAAAAAGTAAAAATATAAACTTGCACATATTTCAGACTGTCTATCTCGCAATTATAATCTCGTGCCTTATCAATGCTGAACTGAAACCTTATAAGTATTATAATTATTGGGGTATCTAAAATAAATAAAAACAGTTGGTAAAATATATACAGTTTTTGTATCTAGCAATTATAATCTGGCGAGTTATCAATGCAGCTGATTTCTTTTAAAACCCTATAAGTATTATAATTATTATATAAAAATAAAAAAGTAGGTAAAATATATATACAGTTTGTGTATCTAGCAATTGTAATCTGGCGACTTATCAATGCAGCTGATTTCTGTTTATAACTTTTTAGTGTGTAATATTATTGGCGGCCTGCTTATCAGTCCGCGCAGCTTATCGGCGCACGTCTGCCCCATTTCAAGACTGTGGGGCAGGGCACAATTGTCGGCGACTTGCAATATCAGTCGTAGCTGGCACTTTGCGGCGTATCAACGCCTTCAACTTGATCTCCAGTCTCCAAAAGAGAGCTCCAGCTCGCGTGATATTCCAGTGTGTAATTAAATTCTCAACTAATTCTCTATTAAATTATATATGTCATAGTCGAGCTGTGAAAGTGTGCCATTGTATTCGAATGCTTAGCTCATTTTTGATGGGTTTATTCAGTCGCAGCCTCTACAAGTTTTTATAGTACGCGCATTCCTATGGCTTCCCAGTTGTTATTGACTTAACTAGTTGACGTTCTCTCGCGATTTCTGTAGATTCGGATTCGTGTAAAATCCCATTATATTTCCATTTTATAATTTCGAGTTGCGGCTTGTGTATTAAGTTTTTATTCGATTCGTGTCTTAATTACATTTAAATTAATAATAATAATATACAATATACTAATTACCAGCGACTGGTACTTTGAGGCCGTTTAACGGTCGCACTTTCTGTCTAGATTATTTTTGGTTTTTTTGTGTATTGTAAACAACCTTTTATTTTGGCAATTAACTTGCCGGCAGTACGGAGCGTTCATCGTTTAATTTTTCTGTGTCAAGTTTACTGTGCATACGCGTTGTATTTATTATATAAATAACATATCTTGAACCGGTTTCGATGTACACACCTCTGCTTATAGGTGCGTATGTTGCATTACGCTTGCTTCACAAGCGCTTAACGCTTTGATCTTGCTTTGTTTTAAATTTTAACGATTTATTTATGATTGCGCTGATTAAATTGGTGCAACAATAAATATATATATGGCTTGTGGGAAGAAAGAGTCCTTGAACTGGAAGTAAATAATATTTAATTATTTGCAATTATTTAAATAGATTGTTGAAATTATTTCTAGTCTATATATTCAATTATTGTCTACATTAGCTATCGCAAACAAAATTTCCACCCGATTGTAATCCACTTATCAACCTGCCAACAGACGACCTGAAGGTGCTTAGTACTATAAACTGTATATATCTATATGGACTCGTAGTATGAGGCTGAATTATAAATAACACGCTTTTTGTTTATGCTAAACATCTATACAGACATCTATAGCATGCGTGCTATAGATAAGATTTGCACGTCTTTATAGCTTATATTAATACTAGTATAATTGAAATAATTTAAGATATGTTTGTGCTAATAAAACAATTAACATTAATATCTTATCTTTATCAAATTTTATGCTGGCCCTTTGTTACAGACTCCTCGCTGGAAACGATTAGATAAGACTTTTGGTTCGCACATAGCAACATAAAATTTATAATATGCCTCTACTTAACTTCACAGACTCTTGTATGCTCTACAAATCGGCTGCACCCTCGATGCATTAACTATGGTCCTATCAGCTGAGGAGAAACCAAAACAAATAAAGATTACGACGCCGGTGCATGGAGTCGTCAAACTGTGATATACTCTATTGAAATTATTTATATATATATATATATATATACTACTACTATAGCACACTTCTGAGACAATGGCGCGAATAAACAAACGCCTGCTGCCCATTAAGGCGCATTTCTTCTTCTTTATGGCGGGTAATTATAATTAATCTGTTAAATTAACCCATTCTTAAATAAACCAATTCTTAACTTACCTTACAGCAATGGGTCCCATATTGCCGCAACTCTCAGTGATAGGCAAACAGATTGGCATTCCACCAGATATTATGGGTTATATAACTGCCATATTGCCCGTTCTCTATGTGCTTGCCAAGCCCCTTATTGGCTTTCTGGCCGACTATTTTATAGTAAGCCGCACGAAACTGGAATTTGAATTCTTATCCTAATCCGAAATCAATTTGCTCCTCTACAGAACCTGCGCAAGTTCATATTTATGATATTGATTGTGATTATGACATTGGCTTATGGTGGCTTCTATTTTCTGCCCAATGAACCACATGCCATTGATCTGAACGAGACAAGCGTACAGTGGACAGTGACATTGACCCAGGAGCCGCTACACTGTCCGCCGGAGATTTATGCGTCTGATGCCTATTGCCAGGCAACGCACCAGGCGCAGTGCAGCCAGGGGAACTACAGCTTCCAGACGTTGATTGTGGCACCTCAGTCTATCGCAGAGCTAAACCTATCCCCCAATCTGCAACATGGGAACGACAGCTACTTTATCTGTCTGACTGAACTGACCCCGGCCATCTATTGGAGCAACACCAGCGTCGACTGTCAAGTGGAGCACATCGCCAGTTGTATTTACGGCAGCGGCACGTTTTGGCTCTTTGTCTGCTTGCTGTTCGTCGGCACGATTGGCTTTAATGTGACCAATTCCATATCGGATGCCTGTTGCTTTGATATGCTGGGCGAGGAGGAGCAGAGCAAATATGGTGCGCAGCGCGTTTGGGGCACCATTGGATTTGGCGCCACCGCGCTGCTCGCTGGAGTTGTGGTTAATCTGTGGACCTCGGATGCTATCAAGAGCTTTACGCCCGCTCTGATTATAATGGGTGTATTTAGTGTGCTGGATTTGTTTAGCGTGTCCAAGCTGAAGATGCCCAAGCTGGGCGGCTCCGAGTCCATATGGAAGGATGTCTGGGATCTGGTGCGTCAGCCGCCGATTGTTACATTTCTGTTTTTCGCCACCATGGCGGGCATTATTGACTCCTTCATCATTTACTTTATGTTCTGGCATGTGGAAGAGGTGGCTGCCGAGACGGGCTACATGGCAGACATCAAGCTTATCGAAGGGCTTGTGGTGGCCGCCGAGTGTCTGGCCGGCGAGGTGCCATTCTTTTTCTACAGCGGCAAGATTATTAAGAAACTTGGCTATGTGCACTGCATGAGCATGTGTTTCTTCTTCTATGCGTTACGCTTATCGCTTATATCCTGGATACCGAATCCCTGGTATCTGGTCGGCGTGGAGCTGTTCTTCCAGGGCATAACCTATGCCCTCTGCTACACTTGCATTGTTGCCTATGCTTCGGCAGTGGCACCACCCGGCACCTCAGCCACTGTACAGGGTCTTATGGCGGGCATGGATGATGGGCTGGGCTTCTCCATTGGCTCACTCATTGGGGGTATTATGTTTAAGCGTCTGGGCGGGCGCGAAAGCTTCAAGTATTTTGCCATAGCTGCGATTTGCACCTGCGTGGCGCACATTGTGATGCGCCCGTTGTCCAGAAAACGCCAATATTTGCCCAAAAGCGGGTATCAAGTGCCCGCAGGTCAGGCGGAAAACGAACTCAACCCGATGACGTCCCATGAACTGCCAAAAGTATATTAGTTCTAGTTCCCTTTTGTACTGTTGCACACTTTATATATCATTCTCTAACGCATTACCAATTAAAACATGTTTCCAAGTTGAATGACATTTACGATTGTTTTATTTGCCCAAGTGTTCTCCATTTTTGGAGCACACGCGGCGCCGACAACTTTCAAGAGGCATATTCAAATGTTGAATAATACCCAACAGGCCATAAATAAATAAATCGAATCGCACAAAAGATTCTGAGGCGGCTTTTGAAAGTGAAACTGAATGCGTTTATTATTGCTCAACGCGGCCAAATGTCGAGCATTTCCCACTCCATTTATCAGCGAAAAAGACAAATCAACAAAATATTTGAACTTGGCTTACAGCACACATTAGAATTGAAGCGCATTGAACGAGAAAAATAATGCCAAGTCTTGTGTAGGACAGTGTACTTAATTTATGCTCAAGTGTGGGTCCACTTGAGAGCTGTTCAAGTGGACGCTTGTAAAAAATGTAGATTGGGCAGCTATTCAAAATTTGCTGTCCCAAGCACTATATAAGCCTGGCCTAACTCTCTGGCAGTTCACATTTAAGGAAGATGCCAAAAACGTTGCGGATTTATCCGATGCTGTATCTAATGATCGTTCTAGGTACGAGAACGATCCAAGCTCGCCAAGTGAACAAATGTAGCCTGGCGCGACAGCTTTATCGCTATGGTGTGCCCTACAACGAGCTGCCGGATTGGCTCTGCCTGGTCGAGGGCGAGAGCTCGTTCAATACAAGGGCTATTAATCCATCAAATGTGGATGGCTCCGTTGACTGGGGACTGTTTCAGATCAACGATCGCTACTGGTGCAAGCCAGCGGATGGACGACCGTCCACAGATTTGTGTCGCTTACCCTGTCGACTGTTGCTCAGCAATGACATAAGGTATTCTATTGCCTGCGCCAAATATATCAGACAACAACAAGGCTTCTCCGCCTGGGTGGCATGGAATAACCGATGCCAAGGTGCTAAGCCGAAAGTAAACCGTTGTTTTAGTCGGAAGCACAGGTATTTTGGCTAAAACGAAGCAGCAATAAAATGTGATATTAAATTAACTGCTGAATAAAAATCTATGAATTAACTTGTTATATTTATTCTTTATTCACTTAATTTTATTTATATTAACTTATACTAGAAATCAAGAGTTCATTCGTTTTTTAACAAGTTAATTAAATAACTGATTTTGCAAGGATTTAAAAATCAATTCAAATTCATAGTGTTGACAAACGTCAACTGCTGGATCTGGCAACTCTGTGCTGTATACGAGCGCAAGCTGACTGCTACAAAACACATCTGTGAGATATTCACCTTGGCCTTTGCATTGTTTACGCAGAAAAATTTGTGAAAATTTATAAAAATTGTTAAAACCCAAAAATAAAATGGCATCAGCGTCTAGTTCCAGTGCCCGTCACTTGTTTGATGATTCCAAGAAGCGTCTGTGCGCTCGCGTTGGCGTTAATGTGAACAACTTAGGTTCTGTGGCCAGGCAAGTGGTTCGAGGCTCCAAGACAAATGAGGTGGGAAAACAAATTATTAATTGTATTATATGTATGTGCTAAACTATAAAGTGTAACACAGATTATGCATCAGACGCTAAAGAACTTCACACAAGTGGACGTGGTTTCCGATTACAGCAATCAGAACCTGCAGAAGATGACGCTCATCCTGCAGCATGTGGGTTATCAGTACGATGTTATGGAAGACAGCGTCAATCATTTGGATTACCTCAAGGAGCAGGTAACGGCTATGGAAAGATGATTGGAAGAGCAAAAGCCTAGACATTAGTTGAAATGAACACATTGCGCCCACTATGATTTCGACAGTTACACATCGCTCATATATTTTCATAAATACCTAGCCACAACCTCGTCTAAGGTTAATCGCAGCACCCTGAGGGCCATGCGAGCAGCCCTTGACGGCGTCTGTGAAATCTGGTGTCGCTGGCAAATACAAAAATGCGATAAGCGCCAAGATATCTGTGCGTGGTTAGCCTATAAAAGTTGCCAGCAACGAAAGTCACACGATTATCCGTAAGTCAGCTTTCGCATCACATCATGCAGCGCATTCAACTGCTTCTCTTCGCTTGGCTGGCATTTGCCGCTGCCCAGGAGATCAGTACGGAGGAGCAGAAGCTAACGGTGCCGAGTGGCAGTCCTGGTCCACAGGACGGTCGCATTGTGGGTGGCTGGGAGACAAAAATCGCACACTTTCCGCATCAGGTGTCAGTGCAGATGGGCACCCGTCATATCTGTGGCGGCACCATATTGGCGCCCAGCCTTGTCCTCACCGCTGCTCATTGCGTGCTGAAGTCCAATGAGCCGCAACTCTATGCCATACGAGCCGGCTCTACCCTGTGGTCAAGTGGTGGCAGCTACGTTCGCGTTCGTCGCATCATTCCCCACGAGCAATTCAACTTTCCCACGCACATGAACAACGACATCGCTTTGGTACAGCTGCAACAACCGCTTAATTATAGTCTCAACATACAGCCTATTCAGTTCGTTGCGCCGACGGATAATTTGGCCGCACAGGCGCAGCTCTTCGTCAGCGGTTGGGGCTCAACAGCTGTCGAGCAAATGTCGACTGCACCGCGTCTGCATTACACAGTCATCGTCCAGCTAGATCGCCAGATTTGTACTCAGAACTATTTTGGCGCCGGCACCGTGACCAGCACCATGTTCTGTGCAGGCAGCAAGTCTGGACTTGGAGATCGCGACAGCTGCATGGGCGATTCTGGTGGTCCATTGGTCGTTCGAATTGCTGGTCGCTTCAAACTGCTCGGCATTGTATCCTGGGGCTTGGGCTGCGCAAATGCTCAGTATCCGGGCGTTTACACGCGTGTCCCTGCCTATGGCGGCTGGTTGTTGCAGACAGTTCAGACACTGACCTAGTCTTATTTTTATATGTTAAGTATTTGCTTTTATGTGCACAATTCTGTATATACAATAAGGGACAATAGTTTTGTTAAAGCGAGTTAAGCTCATCTTTAAAGCAATTTAATTATTTGCTTTTAAGTATGTACATAAATATGTAGCTTCTCTTAATGAACAAAGTATCACTGATATAAATTTTTTCGCTCGGTAAATAATAAATATAGTATGTAAAAACTTTAAATATTCTTAAAACATAGTTTTAAATCCATAAGTATTTTTTACCTCTGTTTCTAATATGCTTAAGTATAGATTAACTTTTTCCGTCTGTCTAAAACTTTAAGCATATAATTAAATACATGATATAAAAGGTCACAAGTATTTTCTCTTTCCGACAGAATAAAAGGCCCTATCGTTAAGCCCATTAATAGAAAATCTTTCATCCACAAATCGTATAAAGAATTCGTCTGCAATATATTATTTACTTGTTTTACATGGTGTCGATTAGCGAATTTATTCCTGTTTGTAAATTTAGTTTAATAGGAAAACAAGCTTGTTTTATGTTCGGTTTTTTTATGCGTCATTCCTGTTTATTTTAGTGGCAAACATTTAGTTGCAGGCATTTAAATTCCCAAATATATTATTAAAACTGTTTATTTTCATAGCTTTAAAAATATGCTATTTTCATGATTTGCGATAATTGGTATTATATTTTACTATTGTAGGTTTCATCTATTAATTCACTAAAATGTCAATTTGTTTTTGGTTGAATGCAAACCTTTCATCATCAAAAATTTCCAAGAGAGATTTGAGTACACACTTTCAAGATTGCAAATTTTAAGAATATATGACATTGAGAGATTGTAGTATTAGAGGAACTAGGTATATTTGAATAACAGCAAAGCTTGCTTATCTGGGGTATTATTACAAAATACATTAAAATCAACATTAATGTCGAATTGTCTTGTTTATGAATGCGAAATTGAAAAAAAAACAAAACAAGTTTGGACTTTAAAGCTTTGATCGGCGTATATATAAAAAGCGAATCGGAGAAGCTAAAGCACTGAGAGCCAGACCAGTTTTTTCGGTTTCGACGACTACGACTAACAAAAATTCGCTACAGGTTTTCAGTTTCCCAACGCAGTTCAACAAAGAGCCACACGTTAAAAAAAGAAACAAAAAGCAGACAGCATGAAGCAATTTCTCATATTGGTAAGCCATAGACAAAGATAGTTATCGAGCGCATAAATAACAACTACATTTCCGGTTGTATGTTGCAAGGTCGTTTGCGCATTGGGCGCCAGTCGCGCGGATGTGTCGCACCTGCAGTTGGCCACCACACCAGAGCCACATGCGCCAGCTAATCCGTATGTTTTCAGCTACCAGGCGGGACGTGCGCCTGGTCATGTAGATCGCCAGCATACGGAGGTATCCGATGGCTCCGGCGTTATACGCGGCGCCTTCTCCTATGTGGATCCCAAGAATGAGGTGCGCACCGTTCAGTACGTAGCCGATAAGAATGGCTTCCATCCGCAGCTGAGTCATCAGCTAGAGGACAGTGATGCCGTCAAGGCGGCCAAGCGCAAGCACTTCGCTGCCTACAATCGCATTGCGCAAGAGCATGCCAGCCACACACCAGGTCAAGCGGTGAGTACGGCCTAGAGATGGATGCGTGATTGGTTAAAATGAATTGCAAATGTTGTTCACGCGAATCACAATACTACCTGCCCGTCACGAGCCAATCTCTTGGAAATCGTACATTGTGCACAATATTATTTCGTATTTCCATTTGCTTGCAGCCGCTCGCAGCTGCTCCCCATGGCAGCGCTGCCGTCATTCATGCAACCCAAAAGCATTTGAGCGCATTTGATCGTATTGCAGCGGAGCATGCAGCTATTGGGGCACAGCAAGAGGCACAGCGTTTGGCACTGGCCGCTCAGTCGGAGCACAGTGAGCTTGACAATGGACAATATCATCCATAAGTTGCCATGTTCTACAAGTGTGTTCAATAAACATTTCATTTGAGAATATTTCCGTTATTTTTTTATTCAATTGCCAGAAAACCTGCAGAGTTACCACTTTTACAAAATTCATTGGTGAACAGTGTTGAGAAGTCGAAAATGAAATTTGAGTTAGTATGAATAGTTGGTATTTATTCGGTGTATAATATCAGTTTCGAGTGCACGTTTTACAGATTTTTAACTGGTTTTATACATGTAGTTATAAACTCTATATAAACGAATTTTATTTCTGCTACTCATTAGTCAAATCATTTCCAGCTTTTGGTGCATCATGAGTATACATCGATGCCTCTTAGCGTCTATAATTTTGTCTGTGGTAAGTTTGTTTGTGTGTAAGTTTTAAATAGAATTCAGTTCAGAATAGGCAGTGGTAATGAAATCTGCCAAAAGCTTAATAACATAACTAATGAGGAGCTAGAAACCATACCGCAAAAGCCACTAGTCGAAAATATTCCAAATAAATTTCAATGCTACGGCAAGTGCTTGTTAAAAGATATCTTGGGAGATGATGGCAAGCTCGATATGGAATTGGTTCTCAAAGATAAATCAAAGGAATGGTATCGTCTGCGGGAGGAATTGGAGCAGTGCAAGGAGCAATACAGCCATATGGCCATCAGTAATGATGCTGAGTCATGTTATTATGCGGTTCATATTCTACTATGTATGACTGTGGATTAAATGACCGGAACCAAAACGCGAATTCAATGATATAATTAACTGATAACCCTTTGAAAAATATTTATAAATAAAGCAAAAATATTGCTACAAAGAAATGTATGTATTATGTGTATTTAAATAAATGAAATAATATCATAACACAAGTATTAAAATTGAGAATGAAGGGATATCTTAGGCACGCCGAAAATTAAATACCCTTGCAGACCCAACCTATTTATAACGCTTTGCCCGTAGCTAAGAATCACATTCAAAATAGTTAATGCCGAGTATATTTAAAATATCTTGAAAAACAGAAAGTTTTTCATACAAGAACCTCATTTTCGACCGATCGATCCTCTGGCAGCTATATGAAATAGTGATCCGATGTAAAAAAGATTTTGCATAAATGTAGGGAGCATAGTAAAAGTTATGATTGCCAAGTTTGGTCTAGATATCTTGATAAGCAAAAAACTTGTTCATACAGACGGACAAGGCTATATCGAATCGGCTGTTGATACTGATCAAGAATATATATACTTTATGGGGCCGGAGATGTCTCCTTCTAGGCGTTACAAATTTCGATGCAAAATTATAATACCCTCTGCAAGGGTATAATAATTAATAATTAATTGTAGTTGATACAACAAAACAGATACCGATCATTGTTGGACCATAATCATATTCACAATATATGTTTATATTGTCTTTGGTTGGGATTTGTTGAATTCAGAAGGTCATATAAACATTCTAAATACTTGTTGATATTAATAATAATTAAAAACGGTTGAAACTATATTACTGAATATGCCGGTTACAGTATATATTGTAGTAAATTCTGGTTCATTTTATTTGAATCTATTCTGATGCACATATATCTAGAAATTGATTTTATTACTCATACGTTATTCGTAACGGCGTCTTGTTATATGTATATTTTAAGCTTAATCGTAAGGGATCTTTAGACTTTGTATTTTTATATTCATGCCGATGACTTGGGTAAGTTTATAATATGATATCATTAAATTTTATTTTAAGCTACCTTGTAACGAATTTTGCCCTTTTCTTCACAAATGCTGAGCTAGATCTCGTGCCTCGAAAACTACGCTGTGGTGCTTATTAAAGGAGATTTTGGGAGATCTCGACGAGCTTTAGGATGAATCAAATAAATGGTATCGGAATCGTGAAATATTGGAGCTATGCAAGGTGCAATACGTCCATGTTTATGCAAATAATGAGATAAAATCGTATAATTTCGATGTTCATGTGTTCATGTGTTGAATGACCGGAACGTAACAAGAATTATCGGAATTAATTGGGTGAATGTCTTTTAATCTTTTAATAAAAATCGTTAATTAAAAGATTACAAAATTATTGTAAAGAATTTCAAAACTTTTTAGTTAAATGAATGAAAAAATAATAGCATTGAATAGAGAGAAACTCTGAGTCTCACGTTATCAGCTGGAGCTGCTTTGTCTTGCTTGTTATTGTCTGATAAGCGAAAGCTCTCGCATTTTCATATAAACCAGCTTAACTCGAGCTTTAATTCCGCATTTCGAAACGCGCTCTCAGGGGAACACGAGATGCGTTTGGCTTTAAACTGCGTTTTGATTCTGACAGCCGTGGCGGTGTGTGCGGCGTACAAGGTGCCAAACGCCCAGGTGCGCGTGTTCTATCCCAAGGGATTTGAGGTTTCCATACCGCACGAAGAGGGCATTACATTGTTCGCCTTCCATGGCAAGCTAAACGAGGATTTTGATGGATTGGAAGCTGGCAGCTGGGCGCGCGATATACCCAACGCGAAGAAGGGACGCTGGACATTCCGTGATCGTGAAACGGTTTTGAATATAGGCGACACGCTGTACTACTGGACCTTTGTTGTCTACAACGGATTGGGCTATCGCGAGGATGATGGCGCGTATGTGGTCACCGAGTATACGCCAAGTGGGAAATCTTAAGACAGCTTCAAATAAATACGAAATATGAGTCTCAGCCGAGAATTGCTAATTTCCATTGTGTGATTGCCACAAAAAAAACCTGTCTTTAATTAACTTGTCTATATGAATACATTTCGTGTAGCCACAGAACGCTTATAATGGTTTTAGTATAGGGTATTCTCTTAAATATACTTCACATAAAATATAACCAAATCAGCTTTTCGCTTGACTGTCCCTTGCTTATTTGGGGGTATCTGTGAGTAGAAGTACGCGCAACTTTCTTTAAAATTGACTTGTTCTTGGAACAATTGACATGTATTATGGTAATTGTATTAATTTGGCGTCCTTAAACGATGCTGAATAAAATTCGAATTGTTATGATAAATACGGAATCTGATAGTGCTTCTCGCGCAGTCTGCATATGGGGAATGTCATGTATAATGCAATTAAGTCAACTGATATTTCAATATATAAAGCAAATGCTTTAATGAAAATGCATTTATTATGCATCCAGACTCGTTTCGTGTGATTCATTTAATTATTTTTGTTAATAAAATTTGCTGTGCATATTTATGCTCTTTTAAACGCTGTAATTAATCATGAATAAATCGCAATGCATTAATAGTCACACGTGTGCAAAGGGGCTGCTCCAAGCACCACTCACCACCCACCACCCACCGATCCACCAATCCGACGAAGGATTCACAAGGCAAATTGATGAAGTTTTAGTTACGGCAACTGCACTACGTGACGTGTGCGTATCCAGACAAACGCAACGGCCACGCCCTTTGCAACGCCAATGCTCACATTTTTTTTTTGTGGCAGTCCTTGGACTCTTTGTGCCTCTTTCTCTGAATTTTTCCTCTTTTTTTTTTGGCACTTTGCAACAACAGAGCAAATGCAATTACAACGCAATGTGCACAAATTTTTTACACTCACTGTGGCGCATTCGCCAGCCGCGCTAAATTGGTCTGGCAAATTCTTTTTGGACGGCTACAGGTCTACAGTCTACAGTCTGCATCTAGCACTACTTTTATAATTTCTGCACTTTTGTGCATTGCGTAGCTGAAGCCCCCCCACACCCCCCTTAAACGCTTCATTGCCCCTGCCTTTTTCCCTACAGCAATTGCGAAAAGTGCAACAAATGTTGCTTGTCCTTGTAGCAAGATAGTATTTATTTTCCGTGGTACACTAATAAATATCCTTTCGATTTGAACAAGAAGCTTCCATAGCACGTATTTAGTTAAAAATTATCATTCCTTCACGTTAAATGGCATCAAATATATTATAGATATTTTTTTGTCTTGTTTATGTTATTTTCATTTATAAAATAAAATAATAAAAAAATAGATATATATATATATATAGTATATTAAATTATAATATATTATATCAAAATGTATATATAAAGAATATTTTTATTTTAATTTTATCTTAATATTTTTAATGTTTTTTTTTTTTATTAAATATGCTTATTATGTCTTAGGCTTAAGCGATAAAAAAAGGTAAGATTTGAAATTCGTGAATATTATTGGACAACCCTTCGGCTAGGGTAATAAAGGGCTGCTGCACACGTTCAGGCGCTTAATGCCTGACACGTTTCGCTTTTGGGGCGTGCCCGTCTGCTAGCAGCAGACACACACATACACAAATTTTTTTTACACAGTTTGTTGGAGCATGGCAAGTGTCATAAATATTCTTTGGCGCTGCTTTATTTCTTGCCACGCAGACGATGGAGACGACCGAGCAGTTTATCAATAATGCAAAACATTCGAGCGAGGGGTGTTTACATTAGAGTCGGCTCTGTGGGGGACGGGCGGTGGGGGGGAGGGGTCTGCCAGTTGAGCGGCATAAGTTGCTTGGGCAACAGCTCCGTGGCTTCGATACCAACCTTAAGCCCATGACATCTCCCTTTAGCAGTCGCATTCGCATTCGCATTCGCATTCTCGTTTTCATTCTCATTCCTATTCCCCGAACGACAGCAGCATCAGCATCCGCATCAGCATCCGCATCAGGAGCCGTTGCATTCGGTGTGCATGTTTGTCGATTTGACTACGATTGCGGAAACGTATACAGTTCGTTGATCATTATCCGGTTCGTGAGGCTTTCTGGGCAATCCGCTTGCCAGACACGTGACGTTGCCCACCAGAGTCTTGACGCTATTGAACTTACTTATTACCGAATCCATTCTGAGTTAGGAGTGCGGGGTGTGGCATGGCTGGAAGGGAAAGGGGGTGGTGGGTGGTATTTAGTAGTGACAACTAAAACACATTTCAATTGCTGGACACCAATGCGAAAGGCCGCTGCGAATTCCCTGGTTTATGTTTAGCCCAACCAAAGTGCTGAGAATTAACCGCCCGGCTGACTGGCAGCCACTTTGCCAATTGGCAGCCCGGCCGTAATGCCTAGTAATGCCTATGGCGCGCATTTAATGGTACTCTTCGGGCTGCTAATGGAGCGTGCTGTAATTGCATTTCGTATATATTTCTACGAGTACGTTGTATATCCATTATAAACGAAATGGGGGCCCCCCTTACGAGTGCATTTCGGTTGCACAAAAATTGCATACAAATTGAGGGCCCTCTCAATTTGTTGATAAACTGATGAGATTTTGCTAAAATCTGCTAAATCGGAATTTTATCCTGAATGTTGTTGCTATTAAATTTTAAACAGCAATTAGATTGATATTGTAAATTAGATCTAAACAACCCATTTATATGGGGTACTTCTAAGATTGCGTACCACATTTCCCACATTATCGTTTTTTTGTGGCGAAAGGTGAAAGCCCATTACTGAGAGTAAGTATCGAGATTAGCCGACGATATCCCATCTTATCTTATTTGAATATATGCAAGTACAACAATAGTAGCTCAGTTTTGAGTCCCTTCGGAGGGTTACAAAAGCTTTTCGATTATGGAAAGAGGAAAGCGTTTCGCCTAGGCGATACGTTTACGATAGTACAAATTAATTACACTTCATTTTAAGGCAATAATGCGAAACGATTTTGTTCCATATTTTGTCCGCTTTACAACTTTTCTTTAAAATACGATCGATACTTTTTTTTATTTGTTTTTTCGAATTATTTGTATTATCGTTTGAGAGAGTATATTGGATTATTGCAATGTCCGTTTGCCCGTCCATCCGTCTGACTGTCTATACTCGGCGTCAGATAAAGTGTTAAGATTATATAGCTATGCTCGCTATGGCGTGGCATATCGCGGAAATCTTTATTTTTGTATAAAGTTGAAAGCCAGAGTGAACATTATTAGATTCTCTACGGATCAATCCCAAAATATCGATCAAAAAATTGGAAAAATTGATCGATACCATAAAATTTAGATGGTAGCCTGTTGGATAATGGACGATTCTTATGCAGTGCACTAGAATTTTTATACTTGCCTTTGTAGATGGTATTAAAATTTATTCATAAAATGTGTAACGCATAGAAGGACACCTTCGACCACATAATGCATACATATGATCAATATCATATCATCATCAAATGATCAGCATCAATAGCCGAGTTCAAAGAGCAATCGCCGTCTGTTTGTTTCTATGAAAATAGAGCATGGGTCTGATTTCCTGCTGCAGGTGGTATATAATACAATATAGTTGTCATAGGAACGATCGATCTAAAGGTAGGTTCATCAAAACATTTGTGTTTATCAAGATATCTTGACAAAATTTGGCATTTATTAGCCTCACTGTACTTCTAACATATTTGTTAAATCTTATTTAGACTAAACTCGGCATTTTAAAATTTCACTATGCACATATGTAAATATATGCGAAATCTTTTCATAGCACAATTATTTTATAATAGAAAGAATCGGGCGAAAAAAAAAGTTTGTATGGCAACTATTTTCACATATCTGCAGAGCCGTAAGACAAATGTGTAGAAGGGTATAAAATCTTCGATGTCGTTCTTTTAAAAGTCATCTATCTTGATGACTATAGTCAAAAATACATTTTAATGTGCCTGACTTGTATTGGTTTTTTTTTTATTTTTTTATTCATGGTACACGCATGGTGCAATCTAATTATACATACACAGAAATATCAGTCATCTTTGACTCGACTTAAATCAATAAACACAACTGAAAATTGGCACATTTTAAGCCAGTGACAGGTAATGGAATCGCATAAGAAGCTGCCGCTCAAAATCAAATTAGAGCAAATGCGAGGCACTTGAAGGAAATGCGCACTGCAAGTCACAGGAAACAGGAAAGCGCGGAGGCTGGCAAAATCAAATAACAAAATCTGATTGAATTGAAACTGAGGTAAAGGTAAAACGGTAAACGCTGATTTATTGATTTTCAAACAGCGACTTTGACATTTTCCATCTGCTTTTGGTAGAATTAAATAAAGCAAATTCACAGGCTCGCAGAGTCCTTTGTGTTGCGCCTGTTGCAAATTGCTGAAATTGTGCAACAGCGCAGCTGCCACATTTTAAATAGCTTATGTATGCACTGGAACAATGTCAATTCGGTCACTTACGCACACCGAAATTTTATTCGCAACACATTTTCTTTTGTCCGCTAAACGATTTTTTATGTGTTTACCCTTGTAAAGGATATTTTAACTTTGTCATACATTATGTAACGTAAAGAGTTGTTGAGTCTCTATCTATATCATATATTCTTCTATCTATATCATATAGCTGCCATAGGTTAAGATTTTGCTTTAAAAGTTGTTTGCTTTATATGATATGTTGACCAATCTATGCATTTAAAAGTTTAATCTGTTTCTTTACATATGAGAAACTTGTATATATGTTTCGGACTTCTTTATCAAAAAGCTCAATAGGAAAGATCTTAAGAAAATGAACTTTTGTCCACACGTTCATATACATATTCCCAATATATCTTGTCAAAGTTCAAAGCAATTAAAAACCTGTATCAAGTAGGGCTACCTTATTCTATCGCTATAGGAACAATCGGTTGGACATAACGCTTCTGTGTCTCCAAAGGGTATTTGAACTCCTGCGTGCCGAAGATACTCATTTTTTCTTGTTTATTTTTTATTTTATGTTTCATTTAATTTTTATTTTCATTTTATTTTATTTTATGCTTTTTTTGTTGTTTGCCGCTGCTGCTGTTTGTTTGTTGTTTGCGTTTGGCGTTGAGTAGCGGAAATAGTAAAAGTTTTCTAATGAGAAAAGTTTACACACAGAGACAGAAAGGAAGCCCGAAGGAGAGTGGCAGAGTGAAAGAGAGAGCGCGACAAAAATAGGAGCAGAGCAAAAGAGCGGGTGTTTCTAAGATGCAGACAACGAGCAACCCATATAGAGAGGCACCAACGGCGTTGTCCACACTGGCGACGAATTTAATCATCTGCCTTTACTGTTGGTCCCGTTGTTCTTGCTATTGTTATTGTTGCTGTTTGCGCGAATGTGCACATCAAAAACTAAACACGTCAAAGTAAGCAACGGAAATGAGAAAAAGTGCGCTTATTTATTTTGTACTCTTTTTCAACAATTTCGTTTTTGTCGCCTGCACCTCTATTTGACTTGGTTGACAACGAGAGGCTGAGACACAGACAAAGATGGCGACAGAAACACGCATTTTGCGCCCTACGCCTTTCGGCACGTCAGCATCAAAGCGTGTTATAATTTCAAAATTATGCAAAGCTCTGGTAAACGTGGACGTGGACTCATTCCGGCGTGTTTAGTGCCGGATATGAAGAAGAAGAGCGTGAAAAGAGCCCAATACTCGCACACAGTTTTCAAGTGCCAGGGCTGCAAGTGACATGGTGCTGAACTTTGGCAACAGGGCGCATTATAAGCAACAGCCATAGATTAAATGTAGCTTGCAATGTTCGCAGATTATGAAAATCACATCTGAGATAACTCTAAAACGTTTATTTTAGCCAAACATCTATTAACTGATCAGAACAACTTTTTTAATTACACTATGTTAGGTCAACCTTGCAAACAACCTTACTCTTTTGGTACACTATTGCCAATAACACGATAATAATTTTTTTTTATTGTAAATTTTTTATTTTATTAAAGGCATGTCCATAACCACCATAAACCATTTTGACCAAAGGCGAAGTACTAATTGCTGAGTTTGTTCAAGATATATTGAATCCGAAAGTTTTTCATACAAAAACTTATTTAACCGTCTTTTATGATAGAGATTCATACTCTCGAATACTCTTTAGTATGATCTGTAAAAAGATCTTGTTTATAAGTAAGGAGCACGGTATAAATTGTCAATGACAAATTTGGCTAAAATATCGTGATAAACAAAAAACTTTCATACAAGAACTTAAAATTCATATATGTACATGTATGACAGCTATATAGAACATCGATCTGGGCGACTTCGAGATATGTATGTTCTGCCTGTAGTAGAAAGACTGAGATATGAGACAAACTGATAAAGAATTAAAATAATGTATAATCAATATAAATAGGGTCGGAGATATTTCCCACTATGCTTAATACATTTCGTGACAAGGGTACAGAAACGTTTAAAATAAGTTAAGTTAAGTTTATTCAACAAATATAAATTATAAAATGAATTTAACATCTGAATGCACCCGTTGTCTTTAGAGGTTTCTCTTTTAAAATGTTGCTCTTGAAGTACTTGAATCTATATTCCAATAAATTAATTAAGCACGAGCATAATTTATTCGTACATATTATTCATATCTTACTTCCTCAATTTTCCAATATGTGTATATTTTAAGAGTAGATGGAAAATTGGAAACACACTCTCTTTTCAAATGCCGCCCGTTTGATGTTAATGCAGATGTATCTTGAGAATACATCTTGTTTTTATGTCATTTGGCAGCTGCTAATAACTGGGATTTAATAAACAATTAAATTGTTGCCCCTGTGCGATACGCATCGACAATTACTTGGCAAGCTGACATTTTACAAGATTTCGGATAACGTTTAACAAGCCAATTAAAATCGCAATACCCATGGGGGCAGAACGTATAAAAGAAGCTGCACAGCCAAGTGCTGGCCAGCGGCGAGAAGTCAGAAGTTTCTCCCATTCTCAAAATATTGAACGCGACGTGACGGCTCCAAAATGAAGCTATTTTGCGTTATTTTGCTTGTTTACGTGGTGGCTTTGACATTGTTCGGCGTGGACGGACGTGGTGGCGGTCACGGTGGCGGTGGCTCCAAAATGGGCTTGGAGGTAAGCGATATAATACTTGCTGCACTATTACAAATATTCTAAATAAGTTTTTGCAACAGGAGCCGATGCGCCTCTTTGTCAGGGTAAGTCTGTTGTGAGATAAATAGCGCAAAAGTTAAAATCTCTCTGCCCCAAGACGCGTCGCCAATTAAGCGTTAATGAAGAGGAATTGATGCGGCGACGCCTCCTGGATTATAAGCGTTTACTTATGGAATTTTGCCAATGCCTACTAATTCTAGGCACGGCGCCATGTCCACAATCATAAAAAGGGACTCGAGAGCGGATCGGCTTATGTCAACAACGAGCAACCGCCACCACCCCCACCGCATTTTAGAGTAAGCTATCAGATATAACTATAACTATATTACACCTGAAATCTGTCCATATGCTAACAGTCCCGTCGTAATATCATGAACAACGAACCAACGCAGCAGGCGACCAATGAAGAACCACCTTCACATATCAGGGTAAGTAAACTATTCGAATACTTTTACGTTAAGCTTGCTCCAACTACTCCTATATTTATTAACTAGTTAGTTCTCATTAGATCTTTGTTCATTCTTTTGTTTTCTTGCCTTCACCTAATTATTTCCCATTCATTGGCCAGTTGCCACCTGGTATTTACTTACCACCAGCTAGTATACCAATACCATAACTAAATATTGTAGTCAAAACTGAAGCAGAACCTATGTGGATGTTAGTGGAACCATGTCGAGTAGCAAACAAGAATAACAAGTACAAGCAAATAAAACTTGCTTAAAGCATTCTAAAAACGCAATTACGAAAACTTCTTGACTTATTTTACACCAATGTGTAATGGACTTTCTCAGTACCAGGAGTCTGGGCGAGCTCATTTGTCATTTAGGGAAAATGTTTTTTGAACTTCTCAGGCATAGTTTTAAGATACTCAAATTAGAGACTGTGCAACATCAGCAAAGAGTTAAATCACTTTACTAATTGCACATTATATTTATTATTTGTGACTCAACAGCAACGCCGCCAGATTCCACCACCACCTGAGGGAATGCCACCACCGCCTGATGGAGTACCTGCACCACCCGCGGGTATGCCAGCACCGCCGCATTAAGGATAAGGAATAGCTAAATATTATTTACGTACATATATCATATAGTAAGGCGCTTGTGTAGGGGTTAGGGAACCACGACAAAAAAGGAATTAGCCGTTAAATAAAATATGTTTCAAGCATTCCAAAAAAGCATTTACCAAATCGCCTTGCTGATTTATACACTCATAAACGATTTAACATTTCCAAGTAGTAATCTGCGCTAATCCTCTGCAGCTGCTCCGCAAACATAAATCAGGTAGTTTTGCCCAGATGCTACCTGCACACAATTTTCTTCTTTTTTTTTTTTACCACGTATTTAAGAGTCTGTTGGCTGTTTAGTTGATTCAGTTGCAGATCGTCTTTCGTCAGGATGAAGTTCGTTGCGTTTCTTTTGCTGAGCAGCCTCACTGTCGCCTTGGTCGTGGCCTTTCCTGATAACCACAATGCAGTTGCTGATTTGCCAGATGCTGACCTGCATGCTGATGCAGTTTCCACGACAGAAGAGGGAGGCGCCGCCACGCCATCAGAGACTAATCAGCTACGTCGGCCACGTCATCTTCTGAAGAAGCTGTTCTATCCAGAGCCACAGGTGATAGTACAACCAATTCTGGTACAACCGCGGCCCTACTATACCAATCCCTACATTGGTGCTGGTCGAGGTTATAATATTGGCTATGGCATAGGAAAAAGTTATAAGAAATGGTAGAACATTTTATCGAAAATTTAATAAATGAAAATTTTGTCTTAAGGCAATGCGCTTTTTTTTGTTCCTCTTTTACGCAAAGTCAAATTTCTCCAGCGCAAATCCCTTAAGTCCAAAACAGTCGTCGACTTGACGGCAACGGTCGCATTTTCCTCCAAACTCCCGCCGCAATTGTCTCTCTAATGCCTAATTAGGCATGCTAGGCACGTAAGTCTAATTCCCAAAAACTTAGCGAAGGTCGCGCCTCGTCGGTTGGGCTGAAGATTTCTCAATAATTTCAATACATGACAGCAATTAAAGTCAGAGAAAAATAAAAACTAATTCCGCTCGTGGAGTCAGAAATGTTTAAGATTAATTTAAAAAAAAATTAAATTAAAATAAATGAAATGAAATCATTACTTATAAAAATAAAATATGTAAAGTTTTAAAATATTCCGCCTGTCTAGGAGCGTTTGTGAGCATTAAATAAAATTTTTTATAAATTCCTCGAAAAGCCAATCATTTAATTAAATTTAATTAGACATTTAGTAAAAATTGCTATATATGTATAACAGGGTTGGAATTTCGAGAAAAAGGATGAACTAATTTGGTTATATGGAATAATTAGAAACTCAGTTACAAATCATATTTTATAATAATTAAATTAGGGTTTTATTTTAAATAATGTATAATTTCTATAAAATAAAATAACAATAATATTAAAATTGTATTATTATTTAAAATTTTACAATATACCGTTTGGCTTCATCATACATCATTTAATATTTAAAAACTTATTACAATTTTCTATAAATGTCTTGAAACGCATTTAATACCAATGAATTTGGTTTGGGCCAAGCCGAAGCAGTTCCTTGCCATAATTTAAAATTGATGACAGCTGATTTAGTGTATTGGACAGTATGCCAGCCCTGAACAACTACCTGGGGACTCATCAGCCATCAACTGAGGAGCGCGCCCATGGGGTCCCAAACGGGCAGTTCCACGCTGGGCTGAGTTTGAAGCGCGTGCATCACGCCTGGCGGCACATAACGGGAGTCGACAACTATCTCGAAGGCATACTCCCGCAGCCAATCGACGTTCAAGACGGTAGCCTTGTCGCTGGCCACTTTGCGCTTGACTGCATCCTGTTTGGCATCAGCGTCAGCCTCGACAGCCTCCGGCAGGTGCAGGCTATCTGTGGACTCCGTCTTTTTGGTGGTTGTCGTTTCTGTTGCCTTTCGCATTGTGCTAAATTGCAACGGCTGCCGCACTGCATCCAATGTGACCTCTGTCAGCAATAGCGCTGTATTGCGTCGCGTCGCCTTGTAGAGCATACGATCGGCTTTGTCAAGTGCCGTGCCCACGGGCATGCCGAAAACCTGATCAAAGTGGTACATTTTCAGGCTGAGCACATCCGACTTGGTGTTAAACAAAACTGGCAGATCGCAGGCCAGCCACACAGCTGAGCCAGCTGCCAGAGAATTTACGATGATATCCAGCAGGATCTCCATTGGTTGGTTGTTGTAGCTTTGGCGTAGTCCATCAATCATATTGGAGCTGTTTGCGATGTGATAGTTGCGGTAATAGATGGAGCTGAGGCGGGGATCGTGGCCCAAGCAAACCTGCGCATCGCGTGAAAAATAAGGCTCTATCATGGCCTTGTAAAAGCTCAGAGGTGTATAAATTAGCTTCTGGTCTTCATCTTTTAAGCTCCACGTAAAGTTTACTGGCGGCGTTCCCAAGCAAATGCTAATTATTTTGTAAAGCTCTTCAATCATGGGTTCCATCATTAATCGCAGCATATGGCCATCCCCATCAAATGTAAATTGCGCATGCAGTCGGCAGCTAAACTCGTGCAGCTGCAAAATATAATGACTTAGTGTCAATCTGGATGAGATGGACAGCACTTACCTTGCTCCTAAGCATCTTATTAAGATGCAGCGATCGAGTTGACGACCAGCTTGCCAGATAGAATTGCTTGGGCATAACACCATACTTCTGGATGAGATTCACAAACATCTGCCAATTCCCGCCATCGGGCACCGTGTGCTTCATCAAGTACCTAAAGGTGCGCCCATCTACTGGCTCACAACGTGCCAGGAGCTCTATCACAGTATGGAGAAAATAATTACAGCGCTCCAGCTTGTGCCAGTAGAACAGATAAGGGGCGGAGAGTTCGCAATCCTTGCGCATGGATAGACGCAGCAGATCGAGGCCAGCACAGATCCATTTTGGGCCGCCAACCGTCGACTTTGCCAGCTTATTCACCTCAAAGTGTTCCTTGCCGGGTATTGTTGACGCCTTCTGGTCCTGCCTCATACAAGCGCTGATCGGATCACGCGCGGTACAAACATTTTGGGCCAGTCGGTTAATTGGCAGCGTGAAGAACTCAGAACGCCATGTGGACAACTGGGACTTTTCAAGTGTAAAGCAGGCCGCAACTGGCGGGAAATTGCCCATTTCGTTAATTTGCGAGAGCGCTGACATTCGGAAAAAATAGAATTAAAAGAATTTTAAAAGATAACTAAAAATACGATTTTTTTTTTTTTTTTTTTTTCAGCGAAACAGTATGCCCAGATTAAATGTGTTATAAACTTTCTGTAACGAAACCAGGGCTGCAATCATTTAGTAATATTGAAGTATAATCTTATAATTTACTTGTCTACCCTGTACATTTTTGAATGTATCTAAACTTTTCTCTATATCTATATCT